GATTATAGCTCAGTGCACTAGGAGGCATTTGCTGGCACATGTGACGGCCTGATTCTACCCCCAGAACCACAAAAACTAAATTGCAGAGAATGGAATTATATACAACCCAAGACTCCAATATTAAAGTCAGAACAAGTCTGAAGATGAAGAATTATAGCTTCTTATATGCCCACTCAACTGAGAAGCCCAGCTAGGAAACAGTAAGTCACAGCCATGCAGATGAGGTCATCAGCTAGGAAACAGTAAGTCACAGCCATGCAGATGAGGTCATCAGCTAGGAAACAGTAAGTCACAGCCATGCAGATGAGGTCATCAGCTAGGAAACAGTAAGTCACAGCCATGCAGATGAGGTCATCAGAGGAAGTGGAATCATGTGAGCCAAGAGAATGGCTTTGACAGCAGCAGCTAACCCAGCAGCCAGACCCGGCAGCTGGCCCACACTGGGCATTCAGTGACTGAAAGGGCCAGAGGCACAAGGCAAACCAAGAAACAGCTAGAGCTGAAGACCAATCGCCAACATTAGTATCAACAGAGACAATATTTCAAAAACCAAAGGAGAAAGTAGATATGACAAGGGTAAAGATGCTTGCCACCCAGCCGGACAACCTCAGTTTAACCCCTGGGACCTGCATGGAAGGAGAGAGAAGTTGTCCTGACCATACACACACCGTGGAACACTCATGCCTACACACATAAGTGCCTACAGACACACACAAAATAGACACAAGGTGAATTTTTTAAAAGGTATTAATTGGATTTCCCTTTAGAACTCTTTCTGTTCTGGAACTCTATGTCTTGATCAGGGAAAGGTTTCCACTAAGTATAGCCCTCAGAGAGGATGATGGCCACCACAGGAGAAACATTTGCTGACCTTTCTGATTCACTCAAAGGCACAGGAAACAAGGAGGGTGTGATGCCTAGAGGGCAGATTCTGGAGGCTGCTCCAGCTTGAACACAGGACTGATGGAGGCACAGAACCACCACCTCTGAGGGCCGGCAGCAGCTGAGCATAGTGAGCTGGGGCGGGCACAGGAGGAGACACCGAAGCCTTCATCGGCAAGTGCCGAGTTGGCAGGTGAGTTTGGGGAAATGCTTACCGGACAAAGAGAGCGCGTGTGTGGCTTGTGTTGGGGGATGCATGTGTGCACACCCCTGGGAATGTGTCATTAATGAAGAAAGTGTCAAGCAAGGGACAGCCATGCAAAGCTGTATACCAAGAGGACAGAGCTGTAAGAGAGTTCTGTGTGGTGCACAGCCTGCTACGGAGTACAGTCAGGAAGGAGGGACCACAGGGCTGCTGTGTCATGGGACCTAGGCTAGAGTCAGTGACACAATGGAAGAAAATCCCCAGTACTGTGTTCACACAGTAGAGCTAGGTGAGCCTACTGGAGGAGGAGGAGGAGGAGGAGGAGGAGGAGGAGGAGGAGGAGGAGGAGGAGGAGAAAGAGGAGGCTGGAAGCCCTTGACTAGCACGCACAAAGCCCTGGGTTTGATCCCCAGTGCCACATAAAACAGGTATAGTGGCATACACCTATTATTCTAGTATTTGAGAGATGGAGGCAAAAAGGATCAGAAATTCAAAGTCATCCTTAGCTACATTTAAAGTTAGAGGCTAGCCTGGGCTACACAGTGAGTTCCAGGCCAGCCTGAGATACACAAAACTCATTCTCAATAAATAAATTTTAAAAAGAAGGTGCAGGAAGGTGTGGTGGTACACACCCTCAATCCTAGCACTCAGGAGGCAGAAGCAGGCAGCTCTCTGTGAGTTTGAGGCTAGCCTGGTCTACATAGTGAGTTCCAGGCCAGCCTGAGCTACATAGTTGAACTCAATCTCAGAGTGGGAATGGGATGAGATTATGGCTAGAGAGAAAAGCTGAGTGCTGTAGGTGTGGCCAGCAGTGCTGCCCACCTCTAAGAGGGGGCTTCTCAGGCCTGAGGAGGCTGAGACAGCTGAACCAGAACCGTAGGGCTGGCACTATAGCTTGTGTCAGAGTACTTGTGCAGTTCATGGGATGCTCAAGGTCCGATCCTGAGTAGTGCTCCCTGCCTCCCAAAGCCACAAGATGCTGTGAAGTTCCATAGACCGTAACTGTATATACTGTAGACGTGCACACCAAGTCCTCAGCTGGAGCACTCACCATGTGGAGACATAAACACCAGCCCTCTTCCTTGAGACTTGTTCATTTTGGAGCCTTTTTCCTCGAGGGACTTCTTGAGCTTGGGCTTTTAAAAAAAAAAAAACACAAGGGAAATGTTACTCTGCAGCATTCTAAACTAAAAGCAGTTTTCTATGTTGTAAGTACTCAGGGGATTGTTAATGAGGCTCTTCCTCTTTTGCTTCTGTTGTGTTTAGACTGTCTCAAACTAGCCCTTGGCTCAAGGTGTGCACCAACACACCCAGCTGGATTGTTTTAGTTTCATTTATTTGTTCTCTCCATGTAGCCCAGGCTGGCCTCCAACTCAATACTACAGACCAGGCTGGCGTGAGGCTATTCTTGTTTTTGTGTTGAGCTAATTTAATTTTTATTTTTTTTGAGGCAAAGTCTCAGTGTGTAGCCTTGGCTGGCCTGGAAATCTCTATGCAGACCAGAATGCATTTGAACTCACAGAGATCTGTCTGCCTCTGCCTCCCAGGTGCTGGAATTAAAGATGTGTATCACACTGGGTGGTGGTGGCACATGCCATTAATCCCAGGAGGCAGAGCTAGTCCCAGAACAGCTAGGGCTACACAGAGAAACCATGTCTGGAAAAAACAAAAAACAAACAAAAAAGATGTGTATCAATATACCTGCCTCATCTAATTTTTTTTTATTATAAAGTATCTTATTTGAGCTTGGGTTCTATCCCAAGATCAAGGTTCAATCTGGCAATACCCTGTTTGTTGGCAAAGTCTTGAGATGGCCTGGGCATCACATGGTGAGAGACAAGGAGCTAATTTGACTATTTTTCCACTGAATAAAATATTGCAGTTTGGAGCCAGAGAGATGGCTCAGGGGTCAGGAGCACTTGCTGCTCTTGTGGAGAACCTGAATTCAGTTCTGAGCATCCATGTTAGCTACAGGACATCCAACACTCTCTTCTGGCCTCTGTGGACATCCACACTCACATGTGCACACACATACATAATTTGAAAATACTGCATTTTGGGGTAGGGGTTGAAGAGATATAAGAGCACCTGGGACTCTTTCAAAGGAGCCAGGCTTGATTCCTAGCATACACATGGCCACTCATAACCATCTAGAACTCCAGTTCTAGGATTCCAATGTCCTCTTCTGGCTTCTGTATGCACCAAGTATATACAAACATACATGTAGGCAAAACACTCATACACATAAAAATAAATTTAAAAAATTTCAGTTGCGCCGGGCGGTGGTGGTGCATGCCTTTAATCCCAGCACTCAGGAGGCAGAGGCAGGCGGATCTCTGTGAGTTCGAGGCCAGCCTGGTCTACAGAGCTAGTCCAGGACAGGATCCAAAGCTACACAGAGAAACCCTGTCTCGAAAAACCAAAAAAAAAAAATATTTTTTTTCAGTTGGGCACATGTGGTGGTGGTACATGCCTAGACTCCAAGCATTTGGGAGGTAGAAGCAGGAAGATCAAGACTTCACAGCCATCCTGTTTTACATAGGGAACTTGAGGCCACCCTGGGTCAGATCTTCTTGGAAAAAACCAAACACACATACCCTCCCCCACACAGTGGCAGAGACCTTGCTAGCATGGACTAGACCTGAGTTCAACTGCCAGCACCACAAAATAAAATTAAAAAATAACAACATATAAATAAGTAAAAGTGAAGTGTTTAAGATAATCAAACCAACCAACCAAACAACAAATCAATTTGTATTATTAAAGGAACAAATAACAGTTCGGTTCCAGCACTACTGGAAAGTTGTGTGTGTGTGTGTGTGTGTGTGTGTGTGTGTGAAGATCAGAAGACAACCTGCAGGAATCGTTCTCTCCATCTACCCTGTGGGACCCACGGGCAACTCAGGTAGTCAGGCTTGGTGGTACTTGCCCTCCCCATAGTTCAATGACCACATATATGTGGTAGCACACATACCTCTGTCTGGAATTCCATCTGGAATTCGCCCTTGTCCCCAGCTACCTGCTGTCACTGTTTACGTTTTACTAGGTACCTGAAGCACATCCATAATCGAGCTGTAACCTTTGCCCTCCAATCTCATCCCTGACGATTCTGGTCTTCAACATTATACTAAATAGCAACTCTTTATTCTCCCAGGTGCACAAGCCCAAATGCCCAGGCTCACTGTCGCCTTCCCTTTCACCCCAAAGCCCCTTGGTCCCGAGCCCTCCTCCCATCCTCTGACCATGATGTTTCCAAGAGCTTCCCAACTGGTTTGTCAACAGAGAAGCCAGATAGTCTGCTAAAAGAGGTGCTATTCCAAAGGCTTCCCACCCCATCTCACTCTGCATTAGCCATGCCCTTCACATACTCTGGCAGTATGAAGAAGTCCAGCTCACATGACGGGGACAGATTCGAGAATCAAAATGCCTAGGCACAAGCCCCCAGCCGCACTGCTTGCTGGGTATGTGACCACAGGCAACGATGTAACCTTTTTGCTCCTAGAAGTAACAACAAGGCCTGAAGTTCATGGGAGGCTTCTAAGTGGGTCGACCCCTAGGAAGAGTTGGACAGCTGGCAGGGCCCTGAAAATGAGGGCTGCTGCTATTCACTTGCTCCACTCTCCACGCAACGCCAGCCTGTGAGGTCAGCAGGAGATGGAACGTCCAGGGTTGTCCTCGAAACACAGAAGGGTGCTCTTCACATAATGGCCATGGGATTGTCACTGAGACCGTAACGTGTGGTCAGGACATGGTGAACTGTGCAAACTCACCTCTGATTTCCTGATTTTACTATCAGGTAGAACACCGATCTTGTCAGAGGACGACTTGGCACTGCTGAAGTGGACATCAGAGTCATGGCTTGTGATTGCACTCGGGCTCCTGTGGACGCTCTGAGGGAGGAGAGGCATGTGAGTATGGTTTCCGTGCACGTGTGCACACAAGTGTAGGCATACACATACACATGTGATCCTTTGGTGAGGTGTCACTGATGTGCAACAAGCTCACTATGAACATGTATCCACACCTGGGAAACATCACCTCAGACAAGACAGTGAACACACTTATCACACCCAACTTCCCTGACCTCACTCCAAAATCCTTCTCTCTCCCCATTCCCAGGGGATGGGCTGCTTTCTACCGCAACACTTGGCACTCTATAATTTTATATAAACCGATTACATGCTGCGAGCCGCAGAAATAGGAAGCAGGAACTCTGCATGCACTGACAGGGCTGACCCATTAGAGCCAAGGGCTCTGGTGCAGGTTGAAGCCTTTTGAATGTGTTAGCTGTTTCCTGCAGTACATTTCTTGTATTCTATTGTAGCTTTCCCATTTGATTCTTTTTCCAAGATCTCCTAACAGTGCGGCTGATCATTTATCAGGCACAACTTCCCCTGTACATTTGGGGTATTTGGATAACATCTCCCAGCTATGTGTGAAAACAGTCACACAGTCAAAACCTGTTTCCCACAACCAGGTCTCTGTTCCTTTCTCCAGTGTAAACTTAGATGCCTGCCATCCTGCACTTATCTTCATTGGCAGGCATTTGGCCAGTGTTAAATGTCCAGGCAAAAGTATCTCATATGAGTCATTCTTAGACATCCAAGGACATAAATTACAACATGTCTAAAATTGTTGACTCACAGCCTTAGAGAGACAGGGAACAAGTGTGCCCTGGGCTGACCCTGCCAGCAGATAGGAAAGTGCTGCCCCAAGCTAACCTCACACTAACCAATTCCTAACTCCTTGTACTTTCACCTTGGTGTGTTAATCAGCTTAGTGTCTAACCACACTTAGGAGTGCAGTGTTATACGCAGATTCCCCTTTTTTCCTTCTTACATTTACCTAATTGATTTAAGGTCTCTCTCCCTCTCATTTGACCCCGTTCCCTTTAAGAGTTCACTGAGGCTTTTACAAGTCACCCCCTCCATGAGTCATAAAGAAAGCCTGACAGTCACTGCCTGGTGTAAACTCTTACCTGTTTTTATGATCCTGAAAGAATTCAAGCCTTGTGACATTGCTGGTTGTATGTGTATAAAACCTGGACACTTCAGGGACTCAGAGTAGAACAAAGAGAGACCAGCAGAGAAGTGTATGGAGAGTCAGGCAAGAGGGAAGCTAAGAATGAGAGCTGAAAAGAAGCTGTATATTTAGGAGACACTTACTTAGAACAATAAAGTGGGCGGACTGAAAGAGCATGGCATGCGTAGATTTATTCTACCCTCAGATAAGTAGATTCCTAGCTGGCTGTAGAGTCTACCGTGGACCCTGGGAGAAAGCTTTTGGGGCAGGATCCTAATAGCTTTTGTTAATGACACACTCCCTTCCTTTTGAGGCAGGATCTCATGTAGCCCAGGCTGATGTTGGAATCAATAGATAGCAGAGATGGACACTGAAGTCCTGATCCTCCTGCCTCCACCTCCTGAATGTTGGGATTGCAACCATGCACCACCATGCCTGATATACAAAGTGCTAGGGATGGAACCCAGGGCTTCATGCATGCTGAACAAGCACTGTGCCTTCTGGGCAGCACCCCAGGTCTGATTTACCTGTTTTTTTTCTATTAGCTTTTGCATGTCCTTTAAAGCTCATCATAATCTGAATAGCCAATAGGACTTTCTCCTTTTACCTAGTTGACCACTTTATCACTATTAGATGAGACTCTGTCCCTGGTAACACCCTTTACCTTGTGTGATGGTTTGGATGAAAGGTGTCCTCCAAAGGAGTGTGTGTTGGAACCTTGATCCCCAGATGGTAGAACCATTGACTGAGAGGTAAGGTGTTGGGGACCAGCCCGACTATCAAACAGTCCTTGAAGGGAGGAGTGAGGATTGAGAAATAATAGTTATGAAAAATAGAAATGTAGATGAAAAAGATAGAGACACAGAATAGCATCAGGAGGGCTCTGGGTCAATATCACAGTCAGCCTGAGTTTATTCCTGATGGACTTTTTATACTCCAGAAAGGGGAGAGGCAAAAGACCTCCCCTTTTCAAGGTCAAGGTACAAAGTACAAACAAATGTAGACCCTTCCTTAATTTTCAAAACACCTGGTAAACACACTTTATGGAAAGGCATCTTGTCATTAGTCCTTGAAGTATAAAACACCTGATAATCATGCCTTTGGCCAAAACATCCTATTATGCAGCCTTGCAAGGCAAAGCAAACTTGGATTCTCTGGCCCTGAGTCAAGATGGAATAAGGCCTCACTATGGAATCTCTGTGGCCCCCACATGAGGGGGTTATGAGAGCTCAAATAGAATCAACTGATTAATCTGCTGGTGGCTTTGTAACTTGACACATTATTGGGAGGACATGGGGCCTGGTTAGAAAAAGATCGTTGCATGGTGGGGGGAAGAGTCTGGACTAACACACTCTGAAATATTTAGCCCAATACTGACCGCTGTCAGCGTGGGACACCAGGCTCCCTGCTTTCCCTTTTCACCCAGTCACGTCTTTATATTTACAGTTGGCTCACTGTAGCCATCTGACAAGGCTGATGTGTGCCTCTGTCCGGGATGCAGCTCATTCTGCTGTTGTTCTGGTCTTGGTTTTCATTTCCTTTTCTTGCCTCCTTTTGGATGAAGTATTTTTTAGAAGATTTTCAAGTATGTATGTGTATATATGTATGTGTGTGCAGTGTCTATGAAACCAGAAGGATCTGGATCCTCTGGACTGGAGTTTCAGGTGGCTGTGAGCCAACTTTCATGGATCTGAGAACCCAGGTCCTCTGCAAGAGCAGCAAACGCTCTTAACCTCTGGGTCATCTCTCAGCCCCTGGACTGAGGTGTTTTGTTTTTTTTTTAATTCTGCTTTATCTCTCTTATTTTTATTTTATATTCATTGATGTTTTGCCGGCATGTATGTTTGTGTGAGGGTGTCAGAAGCCCTGGAACTGGAGTTACAACAGGCATGAAGTGCCACGTGGGTGCTGGGAACTGAACTCAGGTCCTCTGGAAGAGCAGCCAGTGCTCTTAACCACTGAGCCATCTCTCTAGCTCCATACCCTTCTGGGTTTAACTACAGGTCATTGGTATTAGAGTGGTTTACAGTCGGGTTCCTTAACTTGGCAAATCTACCTTCAAGGTGTATCATGCCACTTAAAGTGATAGAATTTTAACAATTATTAATTTTTATTTGTACGTGTCTAGGACACGTGTGGGTTCTGAGGATCGAAGAACTCAGGTCATCAGGCTTGGTGGCAAGTGCTTTTAACTGCTGAGCCATCTCAGTGGCCCTGTGTTAGAACTTTAAAACTCTATTCCCATCTCTTCTTCTCCAGTCCTCAGGCTGTGCTTATTCTTTTCATGAGTACAGTTATTGTTGCTTTGGACAGTCAATTATCTTTTGAAGAGATGCTTGAAAACAGACAAATCCACCAAGTTATTCTTCCCAGCATTCCTCTTTCCTTCAAACAGGCCTCCTCTCCATCTGCCAGCATTCTCCTTTTGTTCCAAGAGCGTCCTTTAATGCTCCTTGTGTTTGCTGGTCTGGTCATGAATTCTTTCGGCTTTCCTATGTCTGAAGAGGTTTTCTTTCATCTTCACTTTGTTAGTCTCCATTATCTTATTGAGGCAAAAATAAATATAACTTAAGACTTAACATTTTGATGAAGGAGGATGGAATGAAGTCAAAAGAACATGAGTCATGAAAGAGAAAGAGGAAATAAACTTATTTTTCTTCTAGTTGCAACTCTGTCATAGTTGGGTGTTTTTTTTTTCTCCCTGCTGGTGGAGATGTGAATTCAACTTCCTGGGTAACAAAGCAGCAAGAACCGTTTCTTCATCCCCCGGGAATCTAGCCTGTCATACCTTCGAGGCAGTGACTGTGAAACTTGGGCTTTCTTTTTAGCTCTACTGACCATCAGTGCAAGAGAGTCAGATGTGACCAGTCACTGGTTTTATTGGTTGCACTGACCCACTCAGAAAAGTGATTTTTAACATTTGTTTTGGGAGAGAGGTTTTATAACCTGAAATTTCCCCTTTTTTCCTTCTGCTTAAAACAATATAAAATTATTTCCTTCTGGTTTTGCTTGATGGTTCTTTCTTTTAGCATTTTTGAATGGAGATGACTCCCCAAGGTCTGTTGGCTTCCAAAGTTTCTGGTGTGAAATCTACTAGTCTTACTGTGGATCCCCTGAATGCGACACTCTGGAGGCTCTGGCTTCTGGGGGGTCAGTGTAATTCTCTTAGGGGTCATCCCACTTGGAGTTCTCTGACGCTCATATTCATGTCTTCATTAAATGTGGGATGTTTTCAGTCATGAGCTTTCCATCGTCTGTGTGATCTCACTTCTCCTTTAAGAGTATGCACCTTCGTCCATTTGATGGTGGCTGATTGCTTCTCAGTCTTTCTTCTTCCTCTTCCTCACACTTGATCATTTCAGTTGTCTGTTTTCAATCCCTGTTCTCAGCTCGCTCAGAGCTGCCTCTGAATTCTATTTGTGAAGTCTTCCATTTAAGTTCTTATATTTTTTCTCTAGAATTTCTCTTGTAAAAGGTTTTCTGCATCTCTGTTGACATTTCCACTTTGGAAATATGTCACTCTTTCTCTTTATTTTGTTTCTTTTGTTGGGAAGGGACACAGAGGTCAGAGGACAACGTCTGGGAGTTGGTTGTCCCCTCCATCAGGCGGGTTCAAACTCAGGTTATCAGACTTGGTGGCAAGGACTTGTCTCACTTCACCTTCTTTCTCTTATCTCCAACACTTTAGGTTTTTTGTTATTGTTGTTGTTTGGTTCGTTGGTTTTTGTTTTTGTTTTTGTTTTTTTGAAACAAGGTTTCTCGTGTAGCCTTGGCTGTACTGGAACTCTATCTATAGAGCAGGCTGGCCTCCAACTCACAGAGATTTGCCTGCCTCTACCTCCTGAGTGCTGGGATTAAAGGTGTGAACCGTCATGTCTGACTTGGTCTTGCACTTCTGATCCTCCTGCCTCCACTTCCCAAGTGCTGGGATGACAGGCACACCCCAACCCTTTCAGGTAATGACTATCATGTCTTTATTGTTTGTTTTGAAACAGGGTCTCACTATAGCCCTGGCTGACTTGGAACTCTATATGTAGACCAGGCTGGACTTGAACTCACAGAGATCCACCTGCTTCTGCCTCCTGAGTACTGGGATCACACAAGGTATGCAGCACCACTGCCCTGTTCACTTTAGGTATTTTTAAACTAACTGTTTTAAATTCCTTGTCTTAGTCTGTCATCACATCTTTCTCTAAAGTCTCCGAGGGCTTCCCTTTTTCCTTTGAATGTGGCATATTTTCCTTTATATGCTCTGTGATTTTTTTGTTGTCATTTAAAACAGTATTTGAATACAATAATGTGGTACCTCTGTATATCAGATTCTCCTTCTTCCCTATAATTTGCTAGTGTTTTTTTTTTTTTTCTTTTTGAGACAAAGTCTCACTATGTAGCTTTGGCTGGTCTGGACCAAACTGGCCTCAAACTCATAGAGATCCATCTGCCTCAGTAAGTGCTCTTAGCTGCCCAGCCATCCCTCCAGCCCCTCGGCTTCGTTTTTGAAAGGTAGTTTTTGCTGAGCACTGAACTCCATGTAGATGGGGGTTTGTTTCGTTTTTGTTCTTAGACTGTTGACTGGGCCTTTTTAACACCTGGGCCTTTGTGGGCAGTTTCAGATTGTGGAGCCTCCTCCCATCTGTGATATGACTTCTCGGCTCCAGCACTGGGAACACACCTATCGAAGCCCTGTGTGACTCCTACTCCGTTTCTCTCTGGTGAGTCCTTCCCTTGGCTTCCTGTAGCTTTTCACACATGTGTGCCTACTCAGCCGACAATACAAAGGCTGGAGATGTCTGCAGACCTCTGGAGAAAATTGCTCCATCTTGCCTTCCCCCAACCACTGTAGCTTATTAAGTTGATGAATTGAGAGAAAGGCTGTGTTTTAAGGTGACCGTCTCTGAGGACCAGTTTCATCTCAGGAAGGAACAGTGATGACTTTGGGACAGGTGAAGTGCCAGTTTGCAGACAGTGGGGCGGGAACTAGCCCCTGAGCTCTAAAACGAACACAGAAACTGCAGTCATGATGCACTGAGAGCTGGGTGTGAAGGTGAGCAGACGGTGTCGGGGGCTGTCCCCAGTCTGGCGTATTCACACCCACGCTACCGAGCTGATGGGAATGCCATCTGCTGTGCTTTAAGGGCCCCGCAAGACTCATGTGTAAGTTATTAATCTGACTACAATGCTTAGACACGGGCCTTTGGGGAATGGTCCAGGTTAGATAAAGTCACCAGGGTGACCCCCTGACAACAAGAAGGACATAATTAGATTCTAGTGCTTAAGCTTCCAGGACTATGAGCTACACCTCTGTTTTTAAACAAGGTTAGTTTCCTTCGTTACTTCGTTATGGTAAGGAAGACTACTGTGTCCTCTGCAAATGGTAGGCAGATTCAAGGTGGACACTCACTTGCCTGGGGAAGCACCCCAGACCCAGGTGGTGACCCTTCGCCAGCTCCCTGATGTGCCTTCTCCTCGAATGAAGGAAGCATCCTTGGCTAATGTGATAGGCAGGGAGATGCTGAAAAGGACATGAAGTTCCCAGTTTTCTGAAAGGAATCCAAGGTACAGCCCAGGGATTTGTGTGAGATCTGTCTCTAGGATCGACAGTGAGAAAGCTCCCCACACGAGCAGCTCTGAAGAGTCTCCCAAACTGGGTGTGGTGGCAAGCACTTTTAATCCCACCACTGGGGAGGCAGAGCAGGTGGAGCTCTGTGAGGCCCATCAAGCCAAGGCTACATAGTGAGACCCTGTTTCAAAATAAATAAATAAAAGACTCTACTAGCCACTGGGCTCAGGTGACCCCTAGAATATCTCTTGTGGCTCCAAGTGAATGTCTCAAACACTGGAAACCCTTCAAGGCCACTAACATGAAACTCCTACTAAAAATCTGTTATGTCTCAATCTGACCCAAGTCTCATTTCCTTATCAATCAGGGTCCTGTTCTGCTAGAGTCTCACAGTGACCGAGGGCATCCACCCTGTGAGAAAGCTTCACACTCAGTGATCTGTTCAGGATTGCAGGAACACCCAGGAACTGTTTCCTGGCACCTTTGCTCTCAGGTGGGCTTTCCACTCTGCACACTAGACAAAGCATCTCACAGTACCTTGCCTCGGATTTTCTCCACTGTCCGGCTGCTCTTCAGACTGCCCTTCACTGTGCTGTTTCCACTATGGCCATTGCCGGGAAATACATTTCCCTAACTTAACAAACTGCAAAACCACAAGCTCCTTCTAACAGTGAAAGACAGTGTATGTTCTCAAGTCCTAAATGATCTCTTGGGAGTATATAGAATAAAGGCCTGGACAGTTCTGGTGAGACTAACCACCCCAGGCTGAAGTCACCCCTTGCTTCGTGAGCCCTGCCATCCCGCCTGTCACCTGGTTTAGTATTGTGTGAGTGCTGCCATAGCGGTTTCCAGTGCCATCATCATATGGGACTTTCAGATAGGATCTTGTCATCCGGTCAAAAATGCAGCAAAGTGAGAAACACAAGAGAGCCTCAAAGAACTCCAGGAAAACCAGCTGCAACGATAAGAAGGCAGGAAGGCAGGAAGGTGTCCTTTATTCCGATAGTCTAGAACGAGCCAGGGGTTGCCTGCGGAGTTCCTACTCATTTATTATTCCTTCTATATATGTGCTGCACATGTGTGCAGAGCACATTATGCGTGGGGAGGCCAGAGGTTGACACTGGGGGTCTTTCTTTATTGCCCCCCACCTTGCTCTTTGAGACAGGGTCTTCTACTGGCTTGGGGTTCACCGGCAAGCCCCAAGGATCCTCCTGTCTCCACGTGCCTGGCACTAGTATCACAAGCATGTACCACCACACCTGACTTTTCACAAGGGTTCTGGGGCTCAATCTCAGGTCCTCATGTTTTCACAGCAAGTCCTTTGCCAGCTGAGCCCTCTCTCCCCAGGCCCTTTCTAATGTTAACCTCTGGTTTGTGAAAAGGCAGCTGTGTACAGATGTATAGCCCACTTTTTTGTATACATAAAGCATAAGAAACATGCAGCTTAAACTGGACCTGTACCATTTGTAGCAACACTTTACCAACCTCAAGTTCAAAATTGCTGTCGGTTCCATCATACACGAAGGGGCTATCCTCCGCTATCACAGTCATAAATTTGGTTGCAGTCAAGTCCTTATTTATCATCCTAAAGTCCTGTCAAAAGATAACACCAACCATAGATGCCTATAATTTCACATGGGTATGTATTTTAATGTCCTTTACAGCAACATAACACCTTGAGAAAAATGTATCAGAAGTCAGTATCTTAAACACTGATTATTTTGGAGCTCTAGTCCCAGCACTGTGGAGGTTGAGGTAGGAGGATTGCAAGTCTGAGGCCAGACTGGGGTACACAGAAAGACCCTTCTTTAGATCAGAATTGCTGGGTGACTGAGAGATGGCTCTGTCATAACATACTTACTGTGCAAGCACGAGAACCTGGGTTCCATCCCCACTATCCATGTAAAAAGCCGCACACAACCTCAGCAAACACCTATGATCCAGGGCTAGGGAAGTGGAGGGGTAGACCCCCAGGGCTTGTGGGCTGGCACCCATGTTCAGTGGCTCTAAGCACTTGTGACTCCAGCTCCAGAAGATCCCAGGTCTTTTGGCCTTCAAGAACACATGCACACATGTGCATATATTCACACACAGGCACACACACGCGCACACACGCACACACACACACATATAAATTTAAAAAATTAGTGTAAAAGAAATGATACAGAAAGTTACCATTGAATTGTCTCTAGGAGAACAGTGGACATTAATTGGCTGCTGAGGTATGACCATTGGGGGATGCTAAGGCCACCAGTGAAGGTTTATGGAAAGCAAAGGATCAGGCTGGTGCCACGTGAGCCACTGAGGAATGCCATCGACACTAAAGGAAACATAACGGGAAAGACCAGTAACCCCTGTGGCTCTGCAGAACACGCAGCATCTGCATCTAACCAAGTCTCTGTTACTGAGAGCCACTGTCTCGGACTTGTGGGGAAAAGAAGACATTAATCCTGACTGGGAGGTGCAGCAGTCACACCCGGCGCGCCTGACCTCTGCAGGGACAAATGAGCAGGAGGAAAGAAGAGAACACACAGCTGTGCAATAGGTCACCCCCAAATCAGAGGCTTTTAAATGCAGTTCCCTACATTTAGACAATAGGTTTTTGTCACTTTTCATGTATATACAATTCTGTTAAACTCTTAAATATTCTCATTAATATTTGATTATTTCCAACTCGTTATTTGTATTCCCACAAGTACAAATTTAAAATATTAAGGAACAAAGCTAGCAGTTGTCAGTTTGAGAACACTGTATACACAACATCTCAACTGTTTTTCAAACTTATGACTTTGGGTTTTTTTGGGGTTTTTTTGAGACAGGATCTTACTATGTAGCCTAGGCTGACCTTGAACTCCTGATCTTCCTGCCTCAGTCTCCCAAGTGCTGGGATTATATGAACTTAATACCATGCCTGACTTCCAAACTAATACATTTCAAAATTACTCTTTAGTGAGCTTATTTGTTTTGCGGTGCTGGGCACTGAACACGGCTTGTGTGCCATAGGCAAGCATTCCATGGACAAGGTACAGTCCAGTTCTGACCAGCCAAAAATACATTTAAAATTTTTTATATTTATTTTATTTTCTGTATCTGAGTGTTTTGCCTGTGGTATGTATGTGCACCATGTTCATGCCAGATGCCCCAGGAGGAGGTCAGGAGAAGGCAGCAGATCCCATGGAACTGGAGTTACAGATGATTGTGAACTGCCACATGGATGCTGAGAACTGAACTCAGGTTCTCTGCCAAAGCAGCAAGTGCTCTATGCCACTGAGCCAAGTCTCCAACCCTAGTGCTTTATTCTTAATGATATTTAGGGCTGATAAGATGCCCAAGGGGGTAAATGCACTTGCCACCAAGCTTGACAATGTACACACACACACACACACACACACACACACACACACACACACACGCCCTGAATCAATAATAAATACCAATGTTAATACAAAAACGGTTTAAGTGGTATTTATCTCCACGGCCACATGTGCATGAGAAGCTGTGGCAGGGCTCAGGCCTTCCTTTCCCCTGTTCTGTGAGCATGGCAGGCAGGCATCCCTGTGCCCTTGCCTCTTGCTGTCATGGGTGTCTCCTGTGGAAGAGGACTTGTAAGCATTTGGCGGCCGTGAAAGGTCACCCTAGATCTTCACCTCCATAATTATGTAGCATTGATTTAATTGAAAGCAAAGTGCCCATCAACATAAAGGCAATATCAACCCTGAGAGTTATTAGGCTTACTTTCAGCATCCAGAGGAAATTTCTCATTTTCATCGTAAGCTCATAGGGTGGGGATTCGTTCTGTCTGCAGTAGGTTGTGTAAATCTCCCAGCACTTATCGATATAATTCATTGAGTAGAGCGTCCGCTGTTGCTCACTGAATAAATGACCTAAAGATACAACATTCAGAAGTGATTACAGGGACGAGAGATTGCTCAGTGGAAAAACAAACTCTGTTGTGCGAACATGAGGACCAGAAACCAGCACCCAAAAAGCACGTTGGCCATAGTGACCTACCTGTAACCCTGGAGGCAGACGGGATTCCCAGGGCAAGCTGGCTAGCTAGACCAGCCAAATCAGTGAATTCAGGGTTCAGTGAGAGACCCTGCCTCATAAATAAAGTGAAGATCAATGGAGGAGAAACCTGATGTCAACCTCTGACTTACATGCGCACATGTACACACACACACACACACACACACACACACACACACACACACACACCTGCAAGTGTCTACATACATGCAAACGTACATACACATACATACCACACATGCAAAATTATTTATAGAACTACTTTTTAAAGATAGTAAATGTAGCCGGGCGGTGGTGGCGCACGCCTTTAATCCCAGCACTCGGGAGGCAGAGCCAGGCAGATCTCTGTGAGTTCGAGGCCAGCCTGGACTACCAAGTGAGTTCCAGAAAAGGCACAAAGCTACACAGAGAAACCCTGTCTCGAAAAACCAAAAAAAAAAAAAAAAAGATAGTAAATGTAATCCTATTATTTTTGTATTTACCTTTTACCTGGCAGGCATGTGGATGAATGTTCTCAGTCATCAGTTTTGTAAAACACAAATAGAGTGATGGGCTTCTGTTCCTACAATGGAAAGACACCATAATTGATTATTCCAGGAGGTGGAGCTTAACTTCCCTCTTCTGAAGTGTGGGCTGGACTTGACAACTGGCTTTTAATGAATAGACTATAGAAAGAGAAACAGAGTAAGTTTATAGTAGAGAAGTCTACCTGGCAACACTTTACTCTGTGAGCACTAGTAAGAAGCCATATTGGAGGTATGTGCTGCTGATACCATACTGTGAGGAGAGTGCTTCTAGCTGGGGAGGTGGCTAAGTTGGAACAGCACTTGCTATGCAAGCTGGAAGCCCTGAAACCCACACAGAGCAATGTGTCTGAAATGCCAGAGCTCTGCAGAGATGGGGGACAGAAACAGGAGGCTCCCCAGAAGCTTGCAGGCCAGCTAGTGTGGTGTACACAGTGGCAAACAGCAAAGGGATCTTGTGTCAAACAAGGTGGAAGGTGAGGACTGGTACCTGAGATAGTCCTCTGGCTGCCACACGTATGCTTTGGCGCCCTCGTGCCTGCACACATACATACATTACACACATACATCATACATGCATATCGCAAACACGCACAAAAAGATCTAAAAAATTCAAACCTAGTATTCTGCCCAAAATCTCTCACCTCAGTGCAATTGTGAGAAAACATCACAGTGTAAAGCCAAACCGTGAGACACTTTACAAAATGGCCAAACAGTATTTTTTTTTTTTTTAAGATGGGAAGGTTATGAAAGACAGAGGCTGAGTAACTGTCACAGATTGGAGGGTCTGAGACACTTTGGAGACAAAATGCAGCGTGAGCTCCTGGAACAGAAAAGAGTTTATGGGAAAATGGCAACTCTTGGCTGGGGATGCAGCTCAGTAGTAGAATGTCAGCCTAGCATGCTGTGGCCTCAGGTTTCAGTCCTCACCTTTCACCATGTTTGAGAGAAGGCTCTGAGGTCAATAACACTGTGGCAGTGTTGAGTCCTTGCTTTTGGTGAATCAACTATGGTGAGTGAGATGTTGGCATTAGGGGAACCTGGGTGCAGGTTGGCACGGGGGGAACCTGGGTGCAGGATGCATTAGGAATCCAATGTACTTATCGCCAACACTTCTGAAAATCTAATTATGTAATTATACATGCTATGTTAATATGTACACACTATATATATTAAATTTATACATGCATACACATAGAGAAAGACAGACAGAAAGACAAAGAAAGCGAGACAGGGTTTATGTAGCCCTAGGCTGGCCTTGAACTCATTGTGCAGACAAGAATGACCTTAACTTCTTTTTAAAAAAATATTGATTTTTGTTTTTGTGTCTCTGTGTGTATATATATGTACATATGTGCAGGTGCCTGCGGAGACCAGAAGACAGAACTGAATCCCCTGGAGTGGTAGATAAAAGAGGTTGTGAGCTGCCCAACTGGTTGCTGAGAACTGAACTCAGGTCTTCTGGAAGAGCAGTCAGCACTTTTAACCCTGGAGCCATCTCTCCAGCCCCAATCTTAACTTCTGATCCTCCTGCCTCCACCTCCCGAGTCCTGGGATTACAGGCATGTGCTACTGAGTCTGTTCTAGGAAGTGCTGTGGATAGTGCCCATGGCCTGTGCATGCGAGAAAAGCCCTTGACCAACTGAACCTTCCCAGGCCTTAACATGCATTAAGAAGGAGTCATCAAGAAAGGGTGTTGCAACTCACGAAGGCAGAACTGACTGTAAGTGCAGAGCAAAGCTCTAAAGGGATATTTACAGAACTGAAACAACTCAGGTGGGGTCCCCAAGTTTTCATCTAGTCCCTGGGCATTGTGGTCGGACACTGTAGAAAAGCTTTCCTTCTAGTCCTTCATGTGGCATGTGTGACAACGACCGTGGCTGCCGTTGGAAAGAGGGACACAGAAGCGGCACTTACTGGAATTCTTTGTGATGGATGTGGTGAGCCAACTGCAGGAGGTAATTCAGGAATGTTCTTAAGAGTATAGTTCTGAACGGAGAGTGGATTTCTTCGATTGGTATGCCGTTGTAGACTGAAAGTAAAGCATTGGCGAGGTCAGCTACTGCAGAGAAGAGCCCCAGTTACACTATGAGACGTTTAAAAGAGGCAGGCAGAGCTCTGTGAGTTCAAGGCCAGCCTGGTCTAGAGAGTGAGTTCCAGGACAGCCAGGACCATTACACAGAGAAACCCTGTCTTGAAAAACAAAAACAACAACAAAAAAAGATTATCTCATACATGCATATAATGTGTTTGATCAAATACACACTCCCATCTCCTCCCTTGCAATTCCTCTCCTATCATCCCCACCACCTTTCCTTGCCAACTTCATGTGCCCCTTTTTAAAACCTACGGAGTCCACTTAATGCGGTCTCTGTGTGAGTGGGTGTAGGACCATCTACTTGAATGTGGTTAGCTTATCAGGGACCACATCCCTGAAGAAAACTGACTCTCCCTTCCCCAGCAGCCGTCAATTGCTAATGGCTCCTCAGCGGGGGTGAGACTTCACGAGCCCCTCCCCACCCCTGTTGGGATTTGGACTGGCTGGATCTTGTGCAGGTCTTGTCCTGAGGTCACAGCTGCTGAGTTTGTGTGTGCAATGGCCCTGTCATATCTGGCCAATACTTTTTCACTGTAGATGTTCACTACCCCTGGCTCCTAGAACCTTTCCATTCTCTCTTTTACAATGATCCCTAAGGCCAGATACCCATTCTTGCAAGGTTGTCATTAAAAGCCTCATGTCCACTGTATTCTTTTGTCTCCGTATCTATTTGTTTGGGTTTGAGCAGAGGCATTTGTTCCTCATGCCGAGCCATCTCGCCATATTCTCTCTCAACATTTCTTAGCTTGTTTCCAGGTAGCAGTAACCAAGAGAGGCAGAGAACCCGGGGTACTCACCACTTAGTACCCTGTCCATATCTGCAAGGGTTATATTGTGGTGATGAAACCTACAGTCTTTGAGAAATCTCCAGAAGTGAAGCTTTGTCATCAGAAAGGTGTTATCCAGAGAGTGGTCACAGCCAAGGCCGCTGTAGAAGCAGTAGATTCTTCGTAACTCTGTAATGTTCCTCAGGACTGCGTATTCCACCTGAAAAGATGGCAGCAGGTGTGGCCCAATTGTGCCCCATTAGGAGAAAACTAAGGGGCTGGAGGATGGATCAGTGGTTAGGAGGGCCTGAGCTCAGGTTCTAGCACCCACATTGGCTGGGATTACAGATCTGTGCCATCATGCACAGTGGATTTCTTTTCTTCTCTTTTAGAGTTTTAAATTTGTGTGTGTAGATGTTCTGCCTGCATATGCATGCAGTTCCTGTGGAACCCCTGGAACTGGAGTTACAGATGATTTTTGGCTACCATGTGGGTGCTGGGAATTGAACCTGGGACCTCTGGAAGTGCAGTTCTTAACCACTGAGCCATCTCTCCAACCCCAACATAGCAGGCTTCTTTCTTCTGCTGCCTCTTTTATTATTTTTAGATTTATTTATTCTATTTTATATGTGTAAGTGTTTTGCCTGCATGCATGTACATGTAACGTATGTGTGACTAGTACAAAGGCACAGGATCCCCTGGAATTGAGTTACAGATGGTTGTGAGCTACCATGTTGGTGCTAGGAACCAAAGCCGGGGTCTCTACAAGAGCAACAAATGCTCTTAACAGAGCTATCCCTCCAGCCTCACAGTGGGTCTCTTGATTCCTAGGGAGTCCAGGTTTTTCTGACCCCCAACAGTCCCTCTGACCCCACTTTCCATGAATGGGGTGTGATCGCAACCCTGGGCTTCAGTTGGCTCTGAGGCCCCAGGCAAAGCCACTGAGTTCTGCCCTCGGGGCTACCTTTCTCTCACAAACCTGCTCACTACAGGGTTGCCTTGCAAGTTGAGATGGTCTAGATAGGCCATCCACCAGGCATATGGAAGACAAAACCAGACAGTGTTTATTAAAATATAAATGTATAATGGCAAGGGGGCATTTACCTGCTTCTTTTCTTCTTCCTGGCTTTCCTCAGGGTACATGTCCAGCAACAAATTCAAGTCCAGCTCAATACTCGATCCTAACACAGAATGGCTTTCACTGCCATCCAACTTTCGTAGGGTCTCTAATGAATGAAGCAAATATGGGAGATGACTTGAAAAGCAATGTTAAGATCCTTCTAATGTGGAGAGATGGCTCAGCAGTTAAGGGATCCAGCTGCTCTTATAGAGGACCCAAGTTCCTAGCACCCATGACAGGCAACTCCAGCTCTGGGATCCAGCACCTTCCTCTGGTTTCTGAAGGCACCCACAGACATGTACATGTATATAAATACAAATAAATCTTTAAAAGAAATCCTTTCAGTATGACATCAGGAAGGTTGTCTGTCCAATATGATAGAATAGTATTCAACAACCATGTCTATCCAATGTGATAGAAAAGTATTCAACAACCATGTCTATCCAATGTGATAGAAGAGTATTCAACAACCATGTCTATCCAATGTGATAGAAGAGTATTCAACAACCATGTCTATCCAATGTGATAGAAGAGTATTCAACAACCATGTCTATCCAATGTGATAGAAGAGTATTCAACAACCATGTCTATCCAATGTGATAGAAGAGTATTCAACAACCATGTCTATCCAAGTGATAGAAGAGTATCAACAACCATGTCTATCTAATGTGGTAGAACAAGAGTATTCAACAACCAGGCATTGTAGTCCAGTCCTATATGCCAGCTGCTGAGGAAGCTGAGGCAGGACGATTCTAAGTTCAAGACCAGTCTGTGCTACAGAGACTTTAAGGCCAGCCTGGACAACTTACACTCCTTTTCAAAGTTAGGAACTAAGGGCCACTGTGATGATTGTTTGCTGCCAAAGCTAATGACCTGTGTTTGGTGAAAGGAGAAATGGACTTCTCCAAGTTGTCCTCTGAACACCACATGTACACACACAAACAACAAATCTGACTTTTTTTTGTGGGGGAGGTTTTCAAGACAGGATTTCTCTGTGTAGCTTTGCGCCTTACTCACTCTGTAGACCAGGATGGCCTCGAACTCACAGGGATCTGCCTTCCTCTGCCTCCAGTGCTGGAATTAAAGGCGTGCGCCACCACCACCTGGCTCAAATCTGACATTTTTAAATTAAAAATTCAAAAGGAGGGCATGCACACAGTCCAGTGGGAGATCACTAGCAGTTCCCAGAGTAATGGAAGGAAGCAAGCACACGGCTATTTGATAGTTGAACATTACTTAGCTAACGTAGCTCAGTTGGTAGAGTGCTTGCCTACCACACATGAAGCCCTGGGTGCCATCCCCAGCACCACATAAACTGGGCACAGTGGTGTGCTCCTGTCATCCTAGCATTGGGAGGTGGAGGACAGAGGGAGGATCAGGGGTTCAAGATGATTCTTGGCTAGTCAGTGAGCTCAAGGCCAGCCTAAACAAACAAACAAAAACAGAGAAGCATAACATTGAAGGAAACTTCTATTTTCTGAAGCAGCAGGTGTATTTTTATAAATGAAAACTATAGATAAGATATTAATCTGCATAGCAGGGCATGGTGGCGCACACCTTTAATTCCAGCACTTGGGAGGCAGAGCCAGGCGGATCTCTGTGTGTTTGAGGCCAGCCTGGTCTACAGAGCAAGAGCCAGGACAGGCACCAAAACTACACAGAGAAACTCTGTCTTGAAAAAAAAACAAAAGAAAAAGAAAGAAAGAAAGAAAGAAAGAAAGAAAGAAAAACCAAAAAATAAAAACCAAACCAAACAAACAAATAAATAAAATAAAAGATATTAATTTACTTTCACCCACCAGGCTCCCTACCAGCACTGACAGAAGATCCCCGAGGCTGCCTGCTCCTTTGGGAGACATCTGACCGACGGTCCAGGCCGCGTGAAAAATCGAGTTCAGCTTCAAGGTACTGTGCGATGTGGTCATTGGAAAACAGACCTTCATACACACGTCCATTCTTAAAAGTCATTCTGCCCTGCGGTTAGGAACATAACATTGGATGGCTCAGGAGGAATATTATTCAGTGTTCATTAGTGGAGTTTTCAAGGGTTTGGAGCTTTTTGTCTTGAAGATATGTGCTTAGACCACAAAGAATCATCCTCCATCAGGTTTCACATCATGCCTCCTCTACTCCCCTCCTGTTCCTCTTTTTCCACACTCTTCCCAAGTTTAATCACCTCCAGGCCACAGACTGGACCTTATTAAACTTTCTGAATGGCCAGCAGAGGGCCCATCCCAATAGGTATTGCCCTGCTCTCTGCCAACCCCAGGATGGTAAGTACTGATTCTGAGGTGGACAAATGACCCAGTTCAGCTCTGGGAAATGAGCTGCTTTTCATTTTTTTAGTGGGGTGTGTTGTGTGACATTTTGTTTGTATTCTGACAAATAAAGCTTGCCTGGAGATCAGAGGACAGAGCTAGCCACTAGTTAACCATAGAAATCAGGCACACACTTTTAATCCCAGCACTTGGGAGGAGGAAGCAGGAAAATCAGGAGTTCAAGGCCATCCTGGGCTACTTGAGATTGAACCAATCTAAAAGAGAAACAGAGCCAGGTGGTGGTGACACACACCTTCAATCCCAGCACTCTGGAGGTAGAGACAGGAGCATAAGGCAGGTGGAGACAGGATCCACCCCAATCAGTCTGAGGATTCATAGAGACAGGATGCCTATTTCAGTGTAAGGACTCCTAGAGGTAAGAAGTCTCTCTAGCGGCTGGTTGCTCTGCTTCTCCGATCTTTCAGCTTTCACCCTCGAACTCTGACTCCGGGTTTTTATTGTTAAGACTAATTAGGGGTCACTTTAGGGGTGAACAATGTGAAGCCTGGAATCACAGCAGCTATCTTGTCATGTGGAAGGGGCAATACAAGGGTAAAGCTGCCATCCGGGCAGATAGAAAGGATGCTGACATGACTGAGTTAATTGTGCAAGCCGGCCCCAAGCCCATGGTGCTGTGATATGTGAAAGTTTAAGCTGGTCTGTAACTTGAGCCAGCACCCTCATTTATATATATTATATATATCCTCGTTTGGATACAAATATAACAAAAACTGATTAAACCATTTCTAAATATCCAGGAAACCACCAATATGTTGTAAATAGCTCCCAATGCACATAATCACCTAGCTAAGAGAGTTATCTCTACAAAGTGAAATGCATCTTATCAGATACACACCTTTCGCCATATTTCAACAGCTAAACTCACCCTGCCATGCTTTTTGTTGGAAATCCATTCTCCCTCATACACTGCTCCACTGGCATAGTAAAACTTCCCATGGCCGTGACGGAATCCGTTTATAAATGCTCCTATATATTCGTTTCTCAAAGGATACTGAGAGTTGGGGATCCTCTTTAGGAACCATGTGTGTGTTCCAAAGCCATTCTGAAAAGAAAGCTCCTTGTCAACATCGATCCTCAGAATGCTCCCCCTTTTGCCTAAACTCAAGTTATGGCCAAGACATTGATGATCTGAAGGGGTAGAGCACGTGAGCCTAGAGCCACGGTTGGGTTCATCCTCAGCTCAGCCCATTACTAGCTGTCTTTTGACCTATGGCAAATGACTTGAGCCTTTTAGGTTCTCCAAGTATAAAATGAAAATATCACCTATCTTGTAGGTTAGATCAAAGATACATAAGACATTACAGAAGACTAAATAATAAAACAGCAATTAAAAGTATAGCTGAGACTAGTAAATTGTAACTTGGGGTGTGTCTTAGGTGATAAAATGCCCTGACAGAAGCGACTTAGGGGAGGAAGGGTTGGTCCACAGCTTCGGGTTACAGTCCGGCACTTCAGGGAAACCACAGTGGCGGGAGCTTGAGACCCCTGGTCACACTGAACCCACAGTCAAGGCCGAGAGCAATGGATGCACGCTCAGCTAGCTTTCTCCATTTAATAGAGTGCAGAATCCCTTGTCCAAGGAAGGTCCCTTCCACAGTTAAGATGGGTGTTCCCACATCAATTAAAGTAATCAAAATAACGTACCCCAGGCTGTCCCACCTCACAAGCGATTCTAGAGTCTGTGAGTTGACAGTTACGAATTCCTTTGAGTAGTGCTTCAGTGTCGGACACCACACAGTATTATTCTGAATTGCTTGGGCGGGCGGCTAGCCCCGCCCACCTCAGGCTGTGACCCGGGTGATGGACAGGTGCTTACCTGGATCCCCTTCTCCCAGTGCCCAGTGTACTCCTCATTTGTTGTCAGCCATCTCATTCTGCCTTCCCCGTGGCGCATGTTGTTCTCCCACTGGCCTTCATATATGTTTCCTGACTTATAGCTGGGACCAAAGGAATCAATGAGGAACAACTGGTTAGCTCATACGGATAACACTTGCCTTTAATGCCCTTAAACTGACCCCAGAACACGTCTCAGAAAATCCAACCCAGGACCCAGGACCCAGGACCCAGGACCCAGGACCCAGGACCCAGGACACTGTCCCAGTACTGAAAATGGGTAGCTCATGGTTGGCAAAAACTATTCATATTAGGGAATGAAATAATTCCCTTTATTAAACCTCTTCATTATTCAATAAATAGGTAAGAGTGAGGGTTTTTTTTTTATCTTTTAGAAGCAACTCCTATTATGTTATGATTACTTAATGTTTTACCACTAAATATTATATATTGCTGGGCATGTATGTGGTGTGTGCATGTGGAGGCCCAAGGCTGACAGCACATGCATTTCCTCTGTTGCTCATCTTTATCTCTTGAGACAGGGTCTCTCACTGAACCTGGAGCTCATCAATTCGGTGGGACAGGGAGTCTTTAACAAGCTTTAAGGAGCCCCTGGTCTGCTCCCCTGTGCTGAGGCTGCAAGGACATGCTGCTATATCCAGATTTTTTTTTACGTTCTATAAAATCTTTATTGACAAATAATTCACATATTATACAATTTGCCTGTTTGCAGTTTGATAGACTTAGTCCAGCATCCTCATAGGCCCATGACACCATCACCACGTTCTATTTTAGAACATTGCTGTCTTCAATTTCATACACATATATAATGTATGGTGATTATATTCCACCTTATTTTTTTAAATGAACATAATATTTGCAATTGCAACCATTTTTAAGTTCACAATTCAGCGGCATGAATTACATTCAAGATATTAATTACACTCATGATATTAATTACATTTGTGCTATTCATTGAATACATTCACAGTATTCACTTAATAACTATATTTATGATATTCATTAATTACATTAATTGTATTGGTTTATTACATTCATGCTATTATGTCCTGATACTACTGTTTGTTTGTGGGGCTTTTCCATCACACAAAACAGAGATTCTGTACTTAGAAAATCATTGCTCTATATTCCTTTTTTCTCCATCTTGAGATAACGTCTAATCTCTCTGTCTCTATGAATTTGTATATTCTATATATTTCATGTAATACAATTCTATAGTATTTGTCCCCTTTTTTGAATGTAAAAACATTTCATGTACAACTGCAGGAGAAATAATACACAGATAGCTTGAACATAAAAACAGGTTATAATTCAAAAGTCCAGGGTTATTTGAAACTGGAAAATATTTTCTCTGTAGAAAATAGTAAAAATGATAACACTTCCCAATAAGCCCCTTTAAGCCAAATAATAGCTGAATTATACATATAAATATTGATTAGATTCTGGTATACAGAAGAAACCTATCTTCATCTGTTCAGAGAGCTAGGTTTTACTTAAGTTGTGTAAGTGAGATTCCTATTCATCTTCCCCTTCACTGTTTGATTTACAGCAGACATTTTTCTATAGGCTCATCCATATTCTAAAAACATTTTAGTCTCCCCTCCTGACAGTACAGCCAGAATATTCTTTTATCAGCTTGATATGGTACAAATTTTTATCCTAATAGTGAAATGTTTCACTAAAGCTTGCCCAGTGATTGGGCAAAACCAAAACTTTTTATAAGCTACAGTCATCCTAGGGTCCTCCCTGCTAGGTAGCCTCCCTGGATCTGTGGGTTGCAGTCTGATTGTCCTATGCTTTATATCTAGTATCCACTTATGAGTGAGTACATACCATGTCTGTCCTTCTGAGTCTGGGTTACCTCACTCAAGATGATATTTTCTAGTTCCATCCATTTGCCTGCAAATTTTATGATGTCATTGTTTTTCTCTACTGAGTAGTACTCCATTGTGTATATGTACCACATTTTCTTAATCCATTCTTCAGTTGATGGGCATCTAGGTTGTTTCCAGGTTCTGGCTATTATGAATAATGCTACTATGAACATAGTTGAGCATGTATCTTTGTGGTATGATTGAGCATTCCTTGGGTATATGCCCAAGAGTGGTATGGTTGGGTCTTGAGGTAGATCAATTCCCAATTTTCTGAGAAACTGCCATACTGATTTCCACAGTGGTTGTACAAGTTTGCACTCCCACCAACAGTGGAGGAGTGTTCCCTTTGCTCTGCATCCTCTCCAATATAGACTGTCATTAGTGTTTTTGATCATAGCCATTCTGACAGGTGTAAGGTGGTATCTCAGAGTCATTTTGATTTGCATTTCTCTGATGACTAAGGATGTTGCGCATTTCCTTAAACGTCTTTCAGCCATTTGAGATTCTTTTTTTGAGAATTCTCTGTTTAGCTCTATAGCCAATTTTTTAATTGGATTGTTCAGTATTTTGATGTCTAGTTTCTTGAGTTCTTTATATACATTGGAGATCAGTTCTCTGTCAGATGTGGGGTTGGTGAAGATCTTTTCCCATTCTGTAGGCTGTATTTTTGTCTTATTGACCCTGTCCTTTGTCCTACAAAAGCTTCTCAGTTTCAGGAGGTCCCATTTATTAATTGTTTCTCTCAGTGTCTGTGCTACTAGTGTTATATTTAGGAAGTGGTCTCCTGTGCCAATGCATTCAAAAGTACTTCCTACTTTCTCTTCTATCAGGTTCAGTGTAACTGGATTTATATTGAGGTCTTTGATCCACTTGGACTTAAGTTTTGTGCACAGATATGGATCTACTTGCAATCTTTTACATGCTGACATCCAGTTATGCCAGCACCATTTGTTGAAGATGCTTTCTTTTTTCCATTGTATAGTTTTGGCTTCTTTGTCAAAAATCAGATGTTCATATGTGTGTGGATTAATGTCAGGGTCTTCAATTCGATTCCATTGGTCCACATGTCAGTTTTTATGCCAGTACCAAGCTGTTTTTATTACTGTAACGCTATAGTAGAGCTTGAAGTCAGGGATCGTGATGCCTCCAGAGGTTGCTTTATTGTACAAGTTTATTTTAGCTATCCTGGATTTTTTGTTTTTCCATATGAAGTTGAGTTCTTTCCAAGTTTGTGAAGAATTGTGTTGTATACCCAGCTTTTTAAAAAAAGATTTATTTTATGTATGAGTGCTCCATCTGCATGTATGAGTTTATGCCAGAAGAGGGCATCAGATCCCACTTTAGATGCTTGTGAGCCACCATGTGGTTACTGGGAATTGAACTCAGGACCCCTGGAAGAACAGCCAGTGCTCCTGACTGCTGAGCCATCTCTCCAGTCCCCTCCCCCATTTCTTTTGAGACAGGGTTTCTCTGCATAGCCCTGGCTGGCCTCTAACCCTATCTGTAGACCAGGCAGGCCTCAAACTCAGAGATCTGCCTGCCTCTGCCTCCTGAGTGCTGGGATTAAAGGCATGTGCCACCACCGCCCTGCTATTCCCAGCTTTTTACATGGGTGCTGGGGAGTTGTTAGGTCCCTCCCTATGTTTTCCTAGCAGGAGCATTACTGATGAACCCACCTCCCTAGCCCAGTGGTTAAGAGCACTTGCTGCTCTTCCACAGGACCAGAGTTCTGTTTCCCAGCATCCATGTTGGACAGTTCACAATTCCTGTAATTCCAGCTCGAGGGGACTTGACACATTCTTCTGGATTCAAAGGCACCAACACATATGCATACACACAAACAAACAAACAAATAAATAAATGAATGAATGAATGAATCTTAAAACAACAACAAAAAGCCCTGCTGGGTATTGAGGTACAAGTTTGTAATCCCAGCACTTGGGAGGCAGAGAGAGGAGACTCTGGAGTTCAAGGTTAATAGCGAGACCTTTTATGTAAAGAGCAAACAGAGCTGAGGCTGTAGCCCAGTGGTAGCATTCTTACTTAGCATGGTCCAGGCCCATTGGGTTCAACCCCTAGTACTAACAAAACTAAAATAATAACGACAAATACCTGACTATCAGCTCAATCAAAAACCAAGCAAAAATATTGCTGTTCCTTGGAAAACATTCAGGAATGTGATCTGTGATGAGTACAGAGAACAGAGGAAGGCGGTTTCTACTTATGACAAAGTGAAACACACTATCAGACACTTAGTATGTTCTTATGAATCTCCCATAGAATGTTTTCATTACTAGGGAGAGTCTATCTGGAGTAACTGAAAAATCCACCATACTTGGACAAAAAATGTGTTCTCTGTCATTTCCGCACCTTATCTTTACCCGAGTGAGAATGAAGTGAGCCTCTGAGAGCTTTTTTACCCACAACCCAAATGTGGAGGGAAGGGTCGCACCTACCATCTTATTCCCCAGCCTTTTTTGATGTTGTATACCCAGTCTCCCTCATACCAAGAGGTTCCCTCTTGATTGTAATAGATGGAGCCCTAAAACAAACAATATTAGGAGAAATCAAGCCTCATTATGCAGATCCTCTTGGAAACATAAAGATCAGACATGCAAATCTAAGAACTATAAACTATGCAGAAGTCAATGTCATAATTACCAAGACACATAACCCATGATGCTTTGGTTTTGTAGACCAAGTGCGCTGGGGAAATGTCTCAGGGTAAAATGGGTAAAAGGGTTTCCTGTGCAAGCATGAGGATCTGAGTTCAGTTCCAAGAATCCACATAAAAAGGCTGGACACGCAATGGAAGCATGTGTCATCCCAGCACTCCTCTTAGGAAATGGGAGGTGGAGACAGGGGAGCCTCAGGGAGCACAGGGGCCGGCTAGCATGCTGTACATGGCAGTGAATAGTAAGAGACCCTGCTTCAAACAAGGTAAAAGATGAGGACATGCAACATGCACCCAAGGTTGTCCTCTGACTGCCACATGCACACCACGAATACGCATCCAAACACACATAAAGAGATGGCTACAGGCTGGGCGGTGGTGGCACACGCCTTTAATCCCAGCACTCGGGAGGCAGAGCCAGGCGGATCTCTGTGAGTTCGAGGCCAGCCTGGGCTACCAAGTGAGTTCCAGGAAAGGCGCAAAACTACAGAGAAACCCTGTCTCGAGAAAACCAAAAAAAAAAAAAAAAAGAGATGGGTATAGTATGTACACCAACATCACAAGTCAGCCATTCCTTGTGTGAGTCAGACTGTTTGTTTTTAGGAAATATCTTACAGAAACAACCCAATGGAGGGATTATTTCTTTGGGTTTGTGACTTCAGAGATTTCAGTCCTTCAGCCTCAGTTCTGTTAGTTTAGGGCCAGTGGTGAGGTGGAGCGTCATGGCAGTAGATCATTTGGCAGAAGCTGTTCACCTGGGACAGACAGGAAGTACAGAGGAGCATGAAGGGACCAGGGACAAGCTAGTTCCCAGATGACCAGCTCCAAGTGACCTACTTTCTCCAGCTAGGCTTTACCTCCTATCAGAGCCATCCAACCTTTTGACATTGAGACTTGGTATTGCTATCTATAAGTATGTTGGGCCTTATTTGTGATACCCTGGGATGCATAGGGCCCATGGATCACAGGTTGACCATGCCAGTTTTCCAGAAACTCCCAATCTGGACCATCAGCTAGAGGCCAAGTTCCTCACACATGAGCCTGTGAGGAACATTTTCTATTCATACCAACACATGCCTTAATAATAACATATCCTAAGAAGGCATGGAACAGGTAAAGAAGTCCCATCTTCAGTGAGGCATGGTGGCTCATACCTATAATCCCCACACTTGGGCAGTGAGGCAGAAAGATCACCCCAAATTAGAGATCAGCCTGAGCTACATAATAAGTTCCTGGAAAGTCTGAGCTACAAGGTAAGAACCTGCCTCAAAACAAAGGTGACTCATCAGGTAAAGGTGTTTGCCTCCTAGTCCTGTGACCTGAGACCCACATGATGGAGGGGATCAACTTCTACACACTGTCTTCTGACCTCCACATGCACATCATGGAGTGAGTGTGTGAGTGTGTGTGTGTGTGTGTGTGTGTGTGTGTGTGTGTGTGTGTGTGTGTGTGTGTTGAAAAGTAATAAAAAGACGAAACTAGCTCAAGTGTCCATCAACAGATGAATAAATTATAGTATATATTACAATCAACTATTACTCAGCCTTAAGAAGGATAGAGTACCAACACATGCCACAAAAGTTTGTATATTATTTGATTCCATTTATAAAGAAATGACTGTTATAATTTGGATATAAAATGTCCCCAACAAGTTCATGCACTGAATACTTAGTTTCTAGCTGCCAGTGTTATTTTAGAAGGTTCTGGAAACTTTAGAAGATTTGGGCCTAGTGGGAGGAAGTAGGTCACCGAGGGGTGCATTCTGGGGGGTTGTTGCATTTTGTCCTGGCCCCATCTCTCCTTCCTGTCTACCATGAGGTAGCAGCCTCTACATGCTTCTCCACCATCAGATTCTACTTCATGGTTAAAGCCCAGAAACAGCACCAATGGCTGTGGACTGAGCCTTCTGACTGTGAGAGGCCAAAATCCGTCTTTTCTTTACTGGGTTGATTCTGTCAAGTTGTTGTTATTGTTGGTAGTGGTGATGGGATTTTTTTTTTCTTTTGAGACAAGTTCTCTCTATGTCCCTTGGCTGGCCTGGAACTCTCTATATAGACCAGGCTGGCCTTGAACTCAGGGAGATCCACTTGCTTCTGCCTCACAAATGCTGGGATTAAAGGTGTGCACCACCATGCCTGGCAAGGGTTTTTGTCACAGTGACAAAAAGTCTGACTGACACAATGTCTAAGGAGTAAACCCATATATACAGAAAGTAGATTGGTCAGTAATTGCTAGGGATGTGGAGTGGGAAGGATGAGGAGTCACCTCCTAATGCATATTTGTTTTGTGTTGTTGAAAATGCTTTTAGACTCGCTAGTGATGATGGTTGTACCATGTTATGAATGGTGGATTTGACATCATGCATACATTCACATGGATGGGACTTTTTTTCACAGGCGCACCTCACCTACCTTCCCATGTCTCTTGCCGTGACACCAGTGGCCGATGTAGGACACGGGCAGTGTGGCACACTTGAACATACCAAATCCGTTCCTCATGCCGTTGATCACTTCTCCTTCATATGTGCTGCCATCTGGCCATGTGTACACGCCATGGTTCATGGGGATATTCTTCACGAAGTCCCCCTAAAGGAAAATGGCCACCAGAGTGGCAGGAGAGGGCAATGAAGGGATTCCACACCCAGGGGCTGTTGAGAGTCTCCTGGCCACCACTGACACTGCCCCTGACTCTTCTGTGGAAGTGGTGGATGCGCCCTCAAGTCCTCTTTGTGTTCTCATCCTCTCTCACCTTGTTTTTCCAGTGCATGGAAATCCAGGAAGAATAAAACACTAGGAAGGTTGCATTTACACAGACCTCTGAGAAGCAAGCAGGTGACCTGGTAATGTGGTGGCTGCCAATCCTGACCTCAACTTTAGACTGTCAGGATGCACCCTGGAAAGGTCTGGATGACCAGCCAGGTACTGATCACCCATGGAAAACCTCTGTCTCCCCGTGGTTCTTCAAACCATTCTGCAGATGTTTTTAGTCAAGGGCCCACCTTATAGGCACCTTCTGAAGAAATCACTGTGCATTGGTGGAGGGTGCCTTCATCGTGAGCAGCTCGTGGTGATGTGCACCATGGCCCAAACATCTTTGGTTCTCTTCCAGAGTGGTTCTGTTGGTAATGTTGGTAGAGGTACTGGAGAGTGAACCCAGGGCTCCCCATGTGCTAAGCTGGTGCTCTGCACAATTCTAAGACTCAGAATTCACTAGATACTCATCAGTCAGCAGAGAACACAATCATGGACTTTGGTCACTGGCCAGATAGCATGTTGGCGCCACCTGGTTCAACAAACCCGAGGATGCTTCAGGAGCACAATCCCACCCATGAACCCCCTTGGATGGGCTGATTGTGGAGGGCTCTGTGCTTGCAAAGGAGGACCCTCAAACTCCAGAGAATTCCCAGAGATAGTGAAGCAGGAGGACCTGCCTGTTAAAATCACTGTTCAGGGATCAGAAACCTTGAATGCTGGTGTCGGGCGAGGTGGGGTGTTGCATGGAAAGGGGGTTCTCTCAGAAAGCCTGGCCCTAACACACTGTTGGGGCTGGATCCCTAGGCTCCCCTAAGTGGAGGGTCAACCCACCCTTGCTGTCTCCGTACCTCCGCAGCTCATATCCTGCTGTCATTTGAATACATGCGCTATATGCATGTGACTTAAATGTCTCTGTTACCATTTATGAACATCATGGCATTAGTAACTCTGCAGTGGAGATTTCTAGAACAGCACTTCAGGCACTCACAGGTTTTGTGGGTGGGAGCTGAAACTGGCACTGTCTCTTGGAGGGCAAATCTGTTCCCAGTTCTCACAATCAGTTTAAAAATACCCACTTCCCCTCAGCCCAGCAGCCCAGATGGTCTTTGTGAAACCCCCATAAGGGAATACGTGCAGTCAGTATAAATAGTTAGATCTGCATGGATGGGTATGGCTTAATTACAAAAGAAAAAGGAATAAAAGAGAATATATAAACTGTGTTCGTACAAAGCCTGAGGGATTAAACATACATCTGTGTGCTATGCAGGCCGAGAACATATAGAATACCACCAAACTCCATCCATGTCTGTTGCATCCACACAGGATATCTCTAGAGCAACAACTGGAACCAACGACAGTGATCCCCAGACACCTGACACAGTCATCAGGTTACTACACTGAACACACACGTTGCTCGCTGGATCCTTCTGCTCTCTGCAGGGTTGGTTCTGTGCTAACACTCACCTTTTCATCTGTTTTTCTTTCTCTGAAATAGGGTCTTACTATGCAGACTCAGGATGGCATGGAATTCAAAATCCTTCTGCCTCAGCTTCCCAAGTGCTGGGCTTACATGACACCAGTCCTGGCTATGCTAACTTACTTGTTTTGTTTCTTTGGTTTTTTTTTTTGTGACAGGATCTCACTATGTAGCTCTGGCTGTCCTGGAACTCACTATGTAGACCAGGATGGCTTCAAACCCACAGACACCTGCCTGCCTCCTAAATGCTGGAATTAAAGGTGTGCACCAGCATGCCTAACTTAACTTACTTTTATAAAAATAGTATATCTAGAGGGCTAGAGAGATAGTTTCAACAGTTAAGAGCATGTGTTGCTCTTGTAGAGAACCTGAGTGCTGTTTCCAGTATTCATATCAGTGTTGTAAAATATTATTTTAAGATGTGTTATGTTTGTTTATGCTGTGGAACATTTATTTAATGATGCAAAGATGTGTTGCATTCCTTTACGTTGCATTTGTTTAACTCTGTGAAGCTGTGTTGCTTTATCTGTCTAAAACACCTGATGGGCTAATCAAGAGCTGAATGGCCAATAGCAAGGCAGGAGAAAGGATGGGCGGGGCTAGCAAGCAGAGAGAATAAATAGAGATCTGGGAGGAGAAGAAGGAGCAAAAGAACAAGGAGAGGAGGACACTAGGGACCAGCTACCCAGCCAGCCAGGGAGCAAGAGTGAAAGTAAGATTTACAGAAGTAAGAAAAGGAAAAAGCCCAGAGACAAAAGGCAGATGGGATAATTTACAGTTAAGAAAAGCTGGCAAGAAACAAGACAAGCTAAGGCCAGGCATTTATAATTAAGAATAAGGCCGGGCAGTGGTGGCGCACGCCTTTAATCCCAGCACTCGGGAGGCAGAGCCAGGCGGATCTCTGTGAGTTCGAGGCCAGCCTGGACTACCAAGTGAGTTCCAGGAGAGGCGCAAAGCTACACAGAGAAACCCTGTCTCGAAAAAAAAAAAAAAGAAAAAGAATAAGGCTCCATGTGTGATTTATTTGGGAGTTGGGTGGCAGGTCCCCTAAAAGAGCCAAGGAGTTAAAACAATCAACAACATATCAGTAGCTCCCAATTGCATATGACTCCAGCTTCAGAGGATCCAATACCTTCTTCTGGCCTCTGAGAATACCTGAACTCATTGGACATAGCAACATGCGAGACACACACACACACACACACACACACACACACACACACACACACACTTTAAAAAATAAAAATAAAGCCAGGCGGCGGTAGCACATACCTTTAATCCCAGTACTCAGGAGGCAGAGCCAGGTGGATTTCTATGAGTTCCAGGCCAGCCTGGTCTACAGAGTGAGATCCAGGATAGGCACCAAAACTACACAGAGAAACCTTGTCTTGAAAAACCAAAAAACAAAATAAAAAATAAAAATGAATGCTTTAAAAATAGTGCAGTAAGTTGACCATTAAATTCTACAATTAACTCTAACTCATGATAATGCTTTACCTCATATTTCAATCCATCAGCCCAAATATAAGTCCCTTGTCCATGCATCAGTCCTTCTGAAAACATACCCTGTGAAAGAAATAACAGTGGGCCTTAGATGGAAGCTGTGGTTTTTGGGCATCTGCAGACTGTGGCTCAGTCGTACACTGGAATCCTGTCCATCCCTTCACTCACAGGCTGCCTGGCAACAGCTGCAGCACCAGCAGCCAGCAGCACAATGTGGTCCTACTCTGAGCATGCACCACACAGTGATCCATCCTGAGCCAGAAAGGATCCAAGGAGGAATTTCAAACTTCCTTAAAACTTAGATCAAATCACCTGAGTCATATCTCCTAAGTAAGCTCCTGGAAAATATCTGAACCATAGCCCAAAATAATTCAGATACTTTTGATTTTGCACTTTGATCCTCCAGGATTTGGGGCCGAGGATAAAGCTCAGTGGTAGAATGCCTGACTAGCATGTTCAAGGCCCTGACCTCTATCCCCTACATTGAAAAATGAAACCAAACCAAACAACAATAATTTAAAAAACCCAAACCCTTTTTATATATGTATAATATTTTACAAATTATAAATATATATATTTTATAAGTTACTTACACTAGATAGATCCAATTGAAACTATCATTCAATTATCAGACACATCACATTTGTAAGTTTCATACTTTGTTTTCTCTTACTGGAAATTATCAGTGTGCATGTGCACATGACTGTGTACTGACAGATACATACATATATATATATATATTCATATGTACATGTGTATAACTTAGGTTCAAGGGGATCCAAAGCCCTCTTCTGGCCTTCATGGGCATCTGCTCACACATGAAACACAGACATATACATAAGATTTAAAAATCTTTAAGAATTATTCTACTATAATAAGCACATATTTCTGATAATCTGGATTAATGAATATCTTAATTGTGTCCTACAAATAAAAGTTAAAAAAATGAAAAGACCCTAAGAAATCCAACAATTATGAAACAGTTGCATTTATCAATTTTGAGCTTTATGCAGAATCACAATGAACTGTCGTAAGCCTGGAAGTTATCATTTCCTGGGTGTCAAGCTTCAGTTAAGATGATCAGAAAGTTCCCGGGCTGTCAGGGTGGTGGCTGCACAATAATGTGAATATGTTTAAGGCCAGTAGACTGTCCACTTAAAAAGGTTAAAATAATAAATGTTGTGTATGCTTTACAATGCATCAAATTTTTAAAAAATTTATCTTGTATTTTGGTGTGGGTTCTACAATGATGAAAACCATATAGTAATACATAAAAATGTTTAAGTGAAAACAAATCAAACTGTACTCTATCTTATGTGATTAATATATACAATATTGATGTATCTATTCAAAGAATGAAAGAAACAATGTTGATTGAATACATTTATAGCAAAGTGACAGTGAAACTGAGATTTTGCTCTTTTTGGTTCACTTGTTTTTACTTTTTGCAGTGCCAGGGATGGATGCTGGTTAGGGCAGTGCTCTACCACTGTGCTGCCCCTACCCCCCAGGCCTGAGACTTTGCTCATCACAGTTGGCCTGAGTTTCATCTCGGTTGTTGTGATAAAGCACTCTGACCAAAAGCAACTTAGAGGGAAAGGATTTACTTGGCTTACATGTCCAGCTCACAGTCCATTGAGTGAGTCAGGACAGTAACTCAAGCAGAAACTTGAAGCAGAAACCATGAAGGAGTGCTCCCGGCTGGCTTTTACTTATCTAGTTTTCTTATACAGCCTAGGACCACCTGCCCAGGGAATAGTGTTGGGAGCCATCCTGGCAGTGGACACAGGTCCCAGCAGAGGATGTAAGGAGTTGGTGGGGTGGGTATAGGGGTGTGTGTGGGGGGTAATGGGGTAATGATGGATGGAAGTGAACAGGCCATAGCGGTGGTAGAATCTTGCAGCCTGACTGACCAGCAGCTAGAATGCTTCTTTATTTATACAGAATTTAGTAAGCGGGGATACATTCATGTTGTTCCAAAACATAGATCATATCATTTTTGTTTTGGACTCGTGTTTCACTTCTTCTTGCTCATCTTTTAGTCATCATTAATAAATTATGATGGAACAGAGTTGTCATTTCCAATCATTTTCCCTCAATTTTTGGTATCATTGATAAACAGAGTTATCATTTTTACTCATTAACCCCATAACCCAATTTTTAAGAATCTAGAGTCATATGACAGCCTGTTCTCAGGCCAGTAGCTTTTGTGGCTACAAGGACATTAGACCAAAACAAAATCTTCAAGCCATCCCGGGCATATTGCCATGTCCCAGTGTATTATTAACTCTTTTTTTTTTTCTTTTTGGTTTTTCGAGGCAGGGTTTCTCTGTGTAGCTTTGCGCCTTTCCTGGAACTTATTTTGTAGACCAGGCTGGCCTCAAACTCACAGAGATCTGCCTGTCTCTACCTCTCGAGTGCTGGGATTAAAGGTGTGCACCGCCGCCGCCGCCGCCGCCGCCGCCGCCGCCACCACCACCGCTCAGCATGTATTATTAACTCTTAATGGTCAGAGTGCCCAAGAAAAATCCTCAGGCCAAAGCTGCTGCAGTTATTATTCAAATTCTGACATAATACAATGTTTATATTTTATATCTTTATAGAATTTGTCTATATGTCTAATCCTGGCATTCTGTTGTTGCTTGGTATATGACATTACAGTGACTCTGCATATGCTAACTTTTCTAAGAAAGGGAGGTCCTGACACCTCATTCTTTTATCATCTTTTCCATTCCATACTTTGTTCATCAATATAAGTCTCTGTAGGGCTGAGGTAACTTCAGCTAGTCTAACTTAGTTGTGTATATGCCACGTAATTGCCTGAGTGAATAGTGGAAAGAGGCTTGCAATCTGATCTGTGGCCAAGTCCTCTAGCCTACCGAATCTTGCTGACCTTTTTGAGTTTACTTTGTTTTGAATATCTTGTTCCTGTGTAAGTACAGGGACAGATGTTTCAAGAATGCCTCACAGCCTCATAAAGAGACCTCTGGCTTCTTTATGTGTGTCACAACCTCCAAGGACTAAGGAAGGCCTTCAGGTAGATAAGGATATCTCCCTAAAAGTAGGAGGAGTAGTATGTTCAGGACTGTCCTGAGGAAGCTTAGAAGCAGTATTCCTGGGAGAAGGTGTAAATGATTCATATGAAATTTCCCATCAATCCAACATCCCCAAATTGTACAAATATTAAAAGTCCCTCAGTATATAAAAGGTGGAGATGAAAGCCAAAGGTAGCATGGCAGCCATCATGTGGCTCAGCTTTGCTGGATTTTTGTCAAGCAGCTGTGCTGGCCTTATGACTTTTGCCATTCCCATCAGATATGGCTGTGCTAGTTAGGACTACAACAATTGCAAACTGTACTAGACATGTATTTTTTTAAAGATCATCTCTCCTTAAAAGGTACAATCTAACAACTATTTGCATGGCATTTGCATTATATTCAGTATTGTAAATTGTACAGATATGAACAATGAATATGTGAGGGCAGTGGGATACAGATTGGTGGCAGGGCACTTGGATAGAATACTCAAGGTTACTTGGATAGCACACTCAAGGTCATTTGGATAGCACACTCAAGGTCATTTGGGTAGCACACTCAAGGTCACTTGGGTAGAACACTCAAGATCACTTGGGTAGCATACTCAAGGTCACTTGGGTAGCACACTCAAGGTCACTTGGATAGCACACTCAAGGTCACTTGGGTAGAACACTCAAGGTCACTTGGGTAGCATACTCAGGTCATTTGGATAGCACACTCAAGGTCACTTGGGTAGAACACTCAAGGTCACTTGGGTAGCATACTCAGGTCATTTGGATAGCATACTCAAGATTACTGGGATAGCACACCATACTCAAGGCCCTGGATTCCATCCTCAGTACCACAAGAACAAACAACAACAAAGTATATGGGAGAATGTGCATAGGTCTATTTATTTATTTATTTATTTATTTATTTATTTATTTAGGTTTTTTGAGACAGGGTTTCTCTGTGCAGCTTTGCGCCTTTCCTGGATCTCACTCTGTAGACCAGGCTGGCCTCGAACTCACAAAGATCTGCCTGCCTCTGCCTCCCAAGTGCTGGGATTAAAGGCATGCATGTGTGTGCGCATGCACACACTTGCATGCAGCAAGGGCAGTGCTTACAGAGGCCAGAAGAGGGTATCATCTCCCCTGGATCTGTAGTTAAAGGCAGTTGTGAGCTGCCATTCTGTTGCTGGGAACCAAACACCAGCCCTCTTCTACAAAGAGCAACAAGCATTCTTAACTGCCGAGCCACCTCTAGCGCCAGGGGTATGTGCAGGTTCTGTGCAAACACAACAACATTTTGTGTGGAGGATTTAAGCATTCAACTTTGGTAATGAGCCTATGGATGACTGTGTTTACTTGGTAACATATCTATGCTTTGTCAATAGTCAAAAATCAGGAAAAAAAAATGAAACCTAAAATAAGTACTTCAGTAACACTGAGTCATACTTTGCCTCAAGTAGGTGGCTGGGGTTCGGGATAAAAATCATAGTAGTTCTAATGGTCTAGAGGAATCAGTGGAATTCACTCAGGTCTTGCAAATCTACGACTTTCAGTCCACCTTTCCCCCAGCCCTCCTGGCTCCAATAATTATGACTTACATGGTAGGTGTTTCCGCCTTGAAAGACAGCGAAGCCTTCTCCCTCATACAATCCCCGCACTTTCTCCCCTTCATAGCTACAAAGAAATAGAGTTCAAACTAGTGAGCGGTGTGGGTGTGACGGTGGGTTAAAGTGTATAGGATATCAGGGGCATGCACCTGTTGGTGTGGTACATGGGGTTTAATAGGTACAGAATTTCTGTCTGGAAAGAGGGCCAGGACATCCTGGAAACAGAACTCAATGATAGCTGTAAAACACTGTGAATGCACTTAATATCCTGAACTATACATCTCATTTATTTCCATTTTTAAAATCTCTCTCTGCGTTTGTGTGGAGGGATGGTCTATGTGTGCACAGGCAAGTGATCCGGAATCATCTTTGACTGCTCTTCCACCTCACCCACTGAGGCAGGGCCTCTCAATCAAACCCAGAGCTTGCCAATATGGCTAGTCTTTCCAGCTGGTTTGCTCTGAGATTCCCTGTCTCTATCTACCAAAGCTGGAATTACATACTGGTGGACCACCACACTCGGCTGGCATTTCCCTAAGTTTCTGGGTAGCTGAACTTTGGGCCTTATGTTAGCATGGCTAGCAGTTTAACCACAGGCCATCTTACTAGTCCCTGAAATACACCTTTTAAAGGGTCAAAATAGCAAATTTTATGTATGTTTTACCATGATGAAAATATTCTCAAAGGGCTGGAGTGATGGTTCAGTGGTTAAGAGAACTTGTTGCTCTTCCAGAGAACCTGGGTTTGATTCCTACCACCCACCCACAGGGTAGCTCACAACCACCTGTAACTCCAGTTTGAGGGGATCTGATGCCCTCTTCTGGCTTCTGTGGGTACCAGACACACATGTGGTGCACAGCCATATCTGCAGGTAAACATTCATACACATAAAATAAAATAAATAAATCTTTAAAAACTGTTTTAAGAGCCAGGTGTGGGGCGCACGCCTTTAATCCCAGCACTCTGGAGGCAGAGGCAGGCGGATCTCTGTGAGTTCGAGGCCAGCCTGGTCTACAGAGTGAGTTCCAGGACAGCCAGGACTACACAGAGAAACCCTGTCTTGAAAAAAAAAAATACCCAAAAAACTATTAAATTTTTTTTTTTGGGCGGGGAAGCTGGAAAAATGACTCAGTTGATAAAGCACCTGCCATACAAACATGAGGACCTGAGTTTGGATCTCCAGCACCCACTTCAAAGTCAGGTGCAGCGGCACACTTCAGTCAGTCAAATGCATACCACGGAAGTATGAAGACCTGGTTCAGAGCCCAACACCCACATTAAAAAAATAGAAAATAAAGAATAAAGAAAGAAAGGAAAAGCTAGGCATTGTGGTACACGTTTGTAATCCCAGCAGTCTCCAGCACTGGGGAGACAGAGACAAGAGGATCCCTGAAGCTAGTCAGACCATCCAACCAAATTGGCGAGTTCTACACTCACACACAAAAGTGTTCTTGGAGGTAGCGAATTGCATGATCATAATTGCAGGAGGTAGGGAATTGCATGAGCCAGGTGGTGGCAGTGTTGGTGGTGTTGGTGGTGTTGGAGCTTGCCTTTAATTCCCGCACTCGTGAGGCAAGCAGGTGAATCTCTGGGTTCAAGGATACTCTGGTTTACAGAGTGAATTCCAGGATGCCTGGGGTTACACAGAGAAATCCTGTCTCAAACAAACAAAAACCCAAAATAACAATAAAACTGCAAGAGGATTCACATGCTCCCATTAAAATACACTTTCATGTGACATTTGGGTTACAGAGTCTGGCCCTGTCATACCCCAGGAAAGTTACTGCTACAAGCTGCAAAAATATATAAAGTAGGATTTCAGCTGATTATGACAAAGAACCTTCCAGAGGTCAAGCTGAGGCTCAAGGAGCCTTGGTGATATTTGGCTTTTGATTATCAGCCATTTCCTGCTATGAGTTTCTCGTGTGCTATTGTAGCTTTTCCATCATTTTTGGACACCATTTCTCCTCTACTAAAGGAATATTCAGATAACCTTCTGTGCTTACAGCTATGCACAGCCAGAACCCCAGTTCAAGCCTCCCTGTAATTACTGTTATTAGCAATATCTGGCCAGGAACATCCCTAGAGAAATGAAAAGTATCTTATACCTCTGTACTCTCTAAGAACAGACTTAAGCATCCAAGGCCAAACCAAACACCACCTGTCTCCTAGGTCAGGTGGATAGCTTTATTTCTTGAGCAATTTAGGGTGAGACCCTTCTTTCTTACAACCTTACTACAGACCCCTAACTTCTTGCCTAACCACTTCTAGGAATGTAGGCTGAGCACATAGATCCCCTTTTGGATATACTAACTGGTCATTAGCACTCAGTTGACCTCTTCTTTTACTTCTCCCACTTTGGATTGTAAAAGAAAGCCTGAGGAAAATTCTTACTTGCCTTTATGACCTTGCAGGAATTCAGGCCTGGTGACCTGGCTGGAGGGGGAGGATTGCGATTGTTTGGGTATGTAACTGTAAAGCTAGAGATTGAGGAAGAATTAAAGCAAATGGACTCAAGAGTTCAGTGTGCTTAGATTCATTTCCTGAAAATAGTTCTCGCCATTCGTGGTTTCTCTTCTGAGCCCTAGGAAATATATTATTAAGGCTGGTCCTTTAATAATATACAAGAAGTTACCTTTCTACTATGAGTTTGGTCAGGATGGGCTCTTCATACTGGGTTTCATCTTCACTCTGATACATATTTGTGGAGTCTCTTTTGGGTGCCGATTGTTTGAGTGACATTTCCAGCGTTGGGATGTTGGCACTGCTGGGTACTTCCTGCTTACTGGCACTGCCATTTTGTTTGGAAGCCTCTGGGTAATCAGAATTAGAGGAGGGGGAGCGAGCCGACTTATCTCCTTTCTTGTCTGCTTTTTTCTTTTCTTTCACCATGGCCTTTGGAAGAGGTAGAGTTTACCTTAGATACTGAGTTAGCCAATGATTCCTTTGGGAGGATGCAGTTTTGTTTCAAAGCACAGATGGGTTTTACCTGAAAAATAAGTTATGTCTCTAAATACTTGGTTGTTTCAATTGTAAAAAAAAAAAAAATCATTATCGTTCTACTAAAGCCTGAATAACAACAAAAATATAACTCAATTTCAATATTGCATAGATTGTTTTTTAAATGTTTAATATTGAACCATTATGAAACATTATTTCATTTACAATTTTTTTTTTTTTGGTTTTTCAAGACAGGGTTTCTCTGTGTAGCTTTGCGCCTTTCCTGGAACTCACTTGCTAGCCCAGGCTGGCCTCGAACTCACAGAGATCCGCCTGGCTCTGCCTCCGAGTGCTGGGATTAAAGGAGTGCACCACCACTGCCCGGTTTATTTCATTTACAATTTTATTGCATTTATTTATCTACTGATTTTGTGCCCACTGGGTATGTGTGTCATGGCCCATGTATGGAGGTTAAATGACACTTTTCTGCAGATGGTTCTCTCCTGTCATAATGTGGGTCCTGGGGATCAAACTCAGGTTGTTTGGCTTGGCTGCAAGCACCTTTACCCCCTAAGCCATTATTGCCAGCCAATGGAACATTGTGTCTTTTCAAACAGTGCTTAGTTAGGAATGGCAATCCTTAGGCGGTAAAGTGCCTCCCTCAAAGGCATGAAGACCAGAGTTTAGATCCCCACTGTTGTCTGTTTTTCTCTTTGGGGGGCCGCCACCCAGCTCCCAAATAAATCACACATGGAGGCTTATTTTTAATTATGAATACCCGGCCTTAGCTTGGCTTAATTTCTAGCCATCTTAAGTTATCCCATCTACCTTTTGCCTCTGGGCTTTTCCCATTCTCTGACTTCTGTAAATCTTACTCTTTCTCCGTGGCTTGCTGTGTAGCTGGGTGGCTGGCCCCTGGAGTCCTTCTCCTTCTCTTGCTGCTAGCTCCCTCTTTCCCTCCATCTCTTTTCTCCTTCTATATATTCTCTTTGCCTGCCAGCTCCGCCTATCCTTTCTCCTACCTCCCCATTGGCCATTCAGTCCTTTATTAGACCATCAAGTGTTTCAGACAGGCACAGTAACACATCTTCACAGAGTTAAACAAATGCAACATAAACAAAAGTAACACACCGAGCGGTGTTGGCGCATGCCTTTAATCCCAGCACTCGGGAGGCAGAGGCAGGCGGATCTCTGTGAGTTCGAGGCCAGCCTGGTCTACAAAGTGAGTTCCAGGAAAGGCGCAAAACTACACAGAGAAACCCTGTCTCAAAAAACCAAAAAACCAAAAAAAAAAAAAAAAAAAGAAGAAGTAAAAAAAAAATAAGTAACACCTTAAAATAATATTCTACTACATCCTACAACCCATGTAAAAAGCTGATGCAGCGGCATGCATCTGTAATACCAGCAGGGGGAGACAGGATCCTACAGCTCACTCACAGAGCTCCAGGTTCAATGACAGATCTTGTCTGAAAAAATAAGGTTGAGCCGGGCAGTGATGGTGCACACCTTTAATCCCAGCAGTCAGGAGGCAGAGCCAGGAGGATCTCTGTGAGTTCGAGGCCATTCTGGTCTACAGCACGAGATCCAGGACAGGCACCAATGCTACACTGAGAAACCTTGTCTCGAAAAAATGAAAATAAAAAAATAAAAAATAAAGTTGGGTTGGGAGAGATGACTCTTTAGGCAAAGGAACTTGCTACAAGCCTGACAACCTGGGTTCAGTCTCTTCAATCTGCATGGTGGAAGGAGAGAACTGACTCCTGCAAGTTGTCCTCTGACCTCCAGAAGTGCACTATGGAGTTGCACGCACGTGTGCATGTGTGTGTGTGCATGCACACACAAATAATAATAATGATAATTATAATAACACATACATCACACACAATTTAAAAATAAAATACAAATAAGAAAATCAAGTCCATAAGAACATAAGGCTCCTGTATATTGGCAGTGTTGTATCCTTACACAAACTGCTTTCTGCCTCAGATATCAAAAAGAAATAGTAGTACCTTGTGTAAAGATTGGGATGGCACAGAAAAATTCCTCAAGTATGCAGTTCAGAACAATTGATAGAGTGATTGACACTTCATGCTTTTGAATTTGAAATCATTGGCTGCCTAGGCTCTAGAGCACTACAATAGCAACTTCTTGTACGTGTGGTATATATGTGTTTGTGTGTCAGAGTGTGTGCTTGTGGAGGCTTGAGTTCAGCATTGGGACTTCCTTTATCTCACTCCATCTTTTTTTTTTGAGATAGGGCTGCTCACTGAACATCGAGGCCAACAATTAGGTAAAACTAGCTAGTCAGCGAGCCCCAGGGATCCTCCTGTGTTGTATTAAAAATATTAAAAAATATTTTTGAACATTTTATTATTTTTGTGTTTATGGGTGTTTTGTCTGCATGCATGTCTGGGCAACACATGCATGCAGTGCCCAGGGAAGCCAGAAGAGACATCAGATCCCTTTGAATTAGAGTTAAAGACAGTTGTGGGCTGCCACCTGGATGCTGGGAATTAAACTCTGGCCATGAAAATCTGACAAGAGGAAAAGGTTTCTGAATGCACAACCAAAATTAATTCAAAATCAAATGCATAAGGAATCCAACATGTTTCTGGCAGAACTCTCCTGGGCCGTCAGACAGCTAGCTTCCCTGTCTTGGTTCTTTGCCTTTTAAGGTTTTTTGTTTTTGTTTTAAAATTATGTGTATGTGTGTGTGTGTCTGTGTGGGGGTGTATGTAGGTACCCTCAGAAGAGGATCCTTTGAATCCGGAGATATAGGTGGCTATGAGCCACTTGACACGGGTGTTAGGAACTGAACTCGGGTCCTCTGGAAGAGCAATATGCACTCTTAACCACTGAACCTTTGCTTCAGCTCCATCTTGGTTCTTAACACCCAACATGTGCACTTTACTGTGTATGTCATCATGCCACGTGATGCTAATGAATGCTACTTGAAACACCCCACCTCAGATTTAAGACTATGACGTTATATGAACTGCAGGGTTTTTGCTACACAGTTTCCTACTTTCATAGAACTATGATTTAATTACAGAAAACAAAGGCAATATTTTCCTACTGTCATTCCTCAGTGTGTATATCTTTGTATGAATTGTGTTAGAATGTTTAAATTTTTTAATTAATTTTGTGTGTGAGAGAGAGTCATCAATCATGATCAAGTAGCAGGTACTCAACTGCTAACCCATCTCTAAAACCCAAGACTTAATTTTATATAAACAAGCAGGTTAGCAAGACTTCGTAGGTTAAGGCACTTGCCATCAAGCCAGATGACCTGAGTTCAAGTCCTAGAATCCATGGTGAAAGAGAATCAATTTCCTCTGACCTCCATATGTGCACGTGACACACTAGCCATAACTGTAGTAGGATGTTATTTTAAGGTGTCTTACTTTTGTTTATGTTGCATTTGTTTAACTCTGTGAAGCTGTGTTACTGTGCCTGTCTAAAACACCCGATGGTTTAATAAAGAACTGGCCAATAGCAAGGCAGGAGAAAGGATAGGCAGAGCTGGCAGGCAGAGTATATGTAGGAGAAAACTGGGAGGAGAGATCTAAGATCTAGGAGCCAGAGGAGGAGGACTCCAGGGGCCAGCCACCCAGCTACACAGCAAGCCATGGAGTAAGAGTAAGATTTACAGAAGTAAGAGAACAGGAAAAGCCCAGAGGAAAAGGTAGACGGGACAATTTAAGACAAGGAAAGCTGGCTAGAAACATGCTAAGGCTGGGCAGTCACAATTAAGAATAAGCCTCTGTGTGTGATTTATGGGGGAGCTGAGTGGCAGGACCCCCAAAAGAGCAAAAACAACACATAACCTTTACCCCATTAAATAAATAAAATGGGGGGGGGGAATGAAGCTTTGGAGCCAAGCATTAAGAGCTCTTGCTGCTCTTGTAGAGGATCTGAGTTCAGGTCCCAGCATTTATGTTGGATGGCTCACAGCCAACTTGTAACTCAGCTCAAGGGGATCTTCTGGCCTCCATGAGTATGTATATATACACACACACATAAAATAAATCTTAAAAAATAAATAAGCACATAATTAGTATACAAATTTGCTTTATTTAATAAATGGTAATTATATAAATATATCCTAAAATGTTTTAAAGTAAATTTAATTATTATTTACTATCAGTAAATATTTGTTGTGCACACCTATTTTATACACTAAAGCCTGGGTCATGCAAAAATTTCCTGGGCAAAAAGGGGAGTGGAAAATGTGCAAGCAACTCTGTTGTAAAGGTTCACTACTGAGTGGCTCTCATCACCACGGGGGTCAGAAGAAAAAGGATGAGCTGCAGAACTGAGAGAAAAGTTCCAAAGCCAGGGTTTTCATGCCACTGTGATACTGATCTCAGTCATTGTGTCCTACTACATTAGGCAAGCAAGACATAAAGAAATCCCTGGGTACAAAGAAGTCTGGTGCAGGCTCGTGCACCCTGAGGGTAGATAGACTGGCACTCATGCCTGCCTCTGCTAGGCATGCTCAGTCCCACCTCAGAGCTTCTCTTTCTCCAACACCCAGCCTTTCCCCGTCTCCACTCGTCCAAGGGCCTGATGTATACCAACTGCTCTCCACTCTCAACTTGAACAGGCATTTACTCCTTTTCTGGTCCTCTACGAGTGAAATTCAAACTACAGATAAAACTTGTTTCTTATAGTGATGTCTTGACCCCATTCTTACAAGTCGCCAAATTATTGCACAAGTAAACTGCAAACCCGCCTTTTCTCTGGGCATGGGTCCCAGCACCACTCCCGCCAGCTGCAGGATTCCCCTTATCAATCAAGCACTGGCTCAAGTCTTGGGAGGCTAAGGAAGGAACTGGCCCAGGTTTTAAGTTGTTGCTACGCACACAGGACTACCCTGGGGTGCTCACCTACTTGCTCTGGCCAGGCTTGCAGATCCAAAGGAGGACCTCGCGTCTTGAGAGCTAGGTGGTTTCCAAGCAACTGCCACAAGCCCCTCCTCCGGTGCTCTTAAAGGGGCCGCGATGCCAACACAAAGCTGTAGAGCATCCAGTTTTACCATGTTTATTCTCAAGAGAGGAACTGGGCACTTGAGTTGGATGTACTTGGCCTGGATTTCCCCAGATCTAACTGCAAAGTGTGTGGTCCCTCTCAACAGGTTTTCTCACGATAAAACAGAATAATGCAGGCTTTTGTTTTCTAGCACTGCCTTAAACCAAACAATGGTTTGAAGCCACACGATCCTAACAGCTCTAAGTTGCAGGCCTAGGTTGGAGGTTTCCATGGAGTCTGGATACTTGTGTTCCACTTTTAAGAACTTATGTGACAGACAGAGCCCATCAAACTGCATAGGACAACCTCCTCATCACTAGGATCTCTAATCCCACCTGAAGTCCCCCTCGTCATGTATGAGGTGAGTCACAGGTTTTGAGGGGCCATTACTATACCTCCTACGACTCCCAATTTGCACTGTTCCTGTGCATATTGAGACCCTGCAGACCTGCAGCAACAGTTTGTGGTTTGAGACATAACCCTGACTGGCATGGAATTATGTATCAGCACAGGGTTGGCCTTAAACTTACAGAGATCATCAGCCTGTCTCTGCTGTGCTGGAATTTACAGGCCTGTGCCACCATGCCGAGCAGTAACACAAATTTTGACATAATGAATGTAAAGAGCTATATGCTTCTGACCCTCATTACACCTGAACCATGGCAGATCTTTTCCTGAAGGCCCACAGCACAGAGGAAGCTGCAAGGGGAACTGTCTACACCTGTCATCACTGGACCCTAACTACCACCCAGACTCTACAGGAGGCATTTTTATTGCCATTTTTGGCACAGCTCAAATGGACAAGGTTCCATGGGAACAGAAACAAAAACCCATAGTTTATACCCCAAGAAAACCAAATTATAGCCCTGAGCTATAGAAAACTCAAATTTTCTTCTTCCACTCCCTGCCCCAGCCCCTGCTTCCCACTCTAGTTGCACTGAGGAACATTTAAAAAATAATGACCCCAGCCAGGTGTGGTGGTGCATGTCTTTAATCCCACCCAGAACTCAAGAGGCAGAGGCAGAGGCAGAGGCAGGAGAATCTCTGTGAGTTCAAGGTCAGCCTGCTCTATATAGCAAATTCCAGGTCAGCCAGGGCTACATAAAAAGACCCTGTCTCATTCCTTCCCATTCCTGTCCCCAAAAGTGATCCCAACTCCTATTCAGTAGTTTCCTTCTAACCAAGTAAAGAATCCCTTTGTTTTTTAAATTTAATATGAGTCAGGATTGAGAGCTACTGATTTCAAAAGACCATAACTGTTAATTTGATTGTGTGATACACACTTGTAATCTTAGCACTTGGGAGGTAGAGGCAAGATCAGTTCTAGGCCAGCCTTGGCTACAGAATATGTTCAAGACAAGCCTGAGTTACATGAAACTGTCTCCAAACACAGGGGCTTGGGGTGGGAGAGAACAAGAAAGTAAACAAACAAGAATTAACTGTCACTGAGGGCTGAAAGATGCAGATTACAATACCCCCCAGCCAGAGGGAAGACTGCTAACTTCCAAAGGGCTCTCCTTGTTTTTCTAAGCCATATCTTTGCACACCCATCCCCAAACACATACACACACACACCACACACATATGCACACCACATGCACATTCAAATTGCAGAACAATAACTGCAGACATGGTGAAAGGGCTTAAAATTTTTTTTTTTCCTTTCTGGAATGGAGTCTCATTAATGTAGCTCAGGGTGGTCTCAAACTCCTGGCCTCACGTGAGCCTCCCACCTGGGTCTCCCAAGTAGCTGGGCTGGCGGCACAAGCATGCCACTATGCCTGGCTTAACACTGTCTTTAAGTGGGGTCTGATACATTACAATAGCACGTCAATTTCTGAACAATGATAACAGGTCAATTAAAACCCCGTCTTTCCAAAACCAAATCATCTGAAATAAACTCTGTCCTACAAGCAGTATCACTTCTGAGAAATGACATCCAGATTTGCAATGTGCCTCATGGTTGGCCTTCCATGGGGACAGTTCCAGGGGTGGTCCATCTCACCCATGTGGGTGATGAGCTTCTTCATCTCCTTTGTATTGAGAGCAGTTCCAATCATCACCTGAGTAGGAGACAACAAGGGAGAGTTGGACTGGACTTTGTTAAAACAGTCTTCAGAAGCACAGGGTTCCTAAGATGAGACCAGACAAGATCACAGCTCAAAAACATTTCCTAAGAACCTTCCCCCAGAGGTCCCGTCTTCTGAAAGCTCAGCACTCCACATTTCTGTTGAGCTTCCAGCCTTGACAGCTCAGGCTTTAGTGGCACAATCTCTCAAGAGGTGAATCAGCAGCCCCCTTCTCTCAACAGTTCCACATGACTTCACTTTTCTCCTCTCACCTTGGTAACCAGAGTGGTTTGGAGTGCCTCTCCCCACTCAGCAGGTAGCAAGGAATTTTATTGTTTATTTTATTTTTTTGTGTGCATGTGCATGCATGCATGTGTTTGTGTGTGTGATCGTGAATGTGTGGGTGCACACATGTGCACACTTGCTCATGTCTGAATGCATAGAAGCCAAAAGTTGATACTGATGTCTATCACGGTCTACCTTAGTTTTTGAGACAGGATTCTTTCATTGAACCTGTATCTCATTATTGTGACTAGACTAGCCAGCCAGTGAGCCCCTGGGATTCACAGGACTCCCCAGAGCAGGGATTACAAATATACACCACAACTTGCTGTTTAATGTGAGTGCTGGGAATTTGTATTCAGGCCCTCATGCTTGTACAGAAAGCACCTTACCTGCAGAGCCATCATCCCAATCCCTAATCCCCCCCGCCCCCGGAAGATAGGGTCTCATTATATTTAACCCTGGCTAGCCTGAACTCACTACAGACTAGGCCAGCCTTTGCAGTGACCCTCCTGCCTCTGCCTCCTGAGTGCAGGGATCATAGATTTGAGTCATCATGCCAGAACAACAGTTCTTTTCAAAAGTCTGTCAGGTACTCACTGCTCTTTCTAGCTCTTCCTTCATGCAAGTAAAAGCCTAGGTCCTTGCCTAATGTGCCAGCATATCTGTCGTGGTTTGAATAAGAATGGCTTTGTAGGCTATATATTTGAAGGGTTGGTTCCCAGTTGGTGTTCAGGAAAGAATAGATGGTGTGGTCTTATTGGAGGAGGTGTGTCCCTGGAGGTGGGCTTCACGGTTTCCCCATGCCAGGCCCAGTCTCTCCTCTTTCCTCTCTCCCTCCCCTCTCTCTCTGCTGCCTATAGATCTGGGTGTAGGCTGTTAGCTACTGCTCCAGTGCCATTTTCCCCACCATGACGATCATGGACTCATCTTCTCAAACTGCAAACAACCCCCCATTTAAATACTTTCTCTTATAAGCTGCCTTGGTCATAGGGTCTCATCACAGCAACAGAACAGTAACTAAGATAATACCCTAGCATGCAACCATCTTCTCCGCCACACTGGCACACCATCCCCATGTGCACATGCACAAAGCAAGTTTCAAAACCAGAGAACTAGCTCTCCCTGTGCTTGGGACTTGCTGTCCCTATATCTTTTTGCAAGTGCTCCCTCCTTTGGGCTCTTGCTCAAATGCCCTACCTGCTCTCAGTGAAACAGCATATTTGTTTCTCTCTCCAGAGCATGAAGAGCTTGGTGACACGCATGTGACAAGTAGATGTACAGCACACCCCAACATTCTAAGACTCTGAGAATTAGGGAGAGGTGGGGATGCAGACAGGCCTAAACCCGTCTGTTGTCATCTTTCTTCCTAGTATAGCACAGCAAGTGTCCACCAGGTGTCAGCACAGTCCTAGAGCTAGGGACAAAGCAGTGCTCTGTCACACTGGGGGCAGGAAGACAATAAGCAAGTTAGCAAACGTCACATATGAATTGACTGCAAACAGGCATGTGAAGAGCAGTGGCAGTGGATCCAGGTGGGGTGTGGCAGGCGGAAAGGGCCTGAGGTGACAGCAGACGGTGATTACATCCCTTGGCTGTGGCTGGAACAAAGTGAAGGAAAAGGGGCTGGAAAGGCAAGCAGGGACTGGGCTATGCCACGTGGACAGCAGGAGACAGAAGATCCCATGAGGGTCAGTGCTAGAGACAGGGAGCTACAACAGTGTGTCTGCAGAGGAAGAGTAGAGAAGCAATCATGCTCCAAGGCCTCCATATGGCATACACAGAAGGGTAAAGTGCCTGGCATGACTACTTGGCACAGACCACCTGCTGTGACACTTTCACCACAAGATAGGATTGTTTTCTTCAACCACGTATTTGTGACTCAGAATCAGATCCAATCAGATCCTGGGTGCTCTCTCTCTCTCTCTCTGTGTCTCTGTGTGTGCGTACGTGTACATGTGTGCACGCTCCTGCTCACATATTAGACACATGATCTACAACTAAGCCACACCAGCAATCCACAAACAAAACTCTTTTCTGGGGGCTGACTAAATGGCTCAGAGGGTAAAGGGCTTGCTGCACAAGCCTGTCAACCTAGGTTTGATCCTCAGAATTCACATAAAGGAAGAACCAACCCTCCACAGTACTCTCCTGACCTCCATACATGCTCCATGGCATGTGCACACTCCTCCAAAACAAAACTTGTCCCTGAAGAAATTCCACCCAGTCTGAGAGCTATGAATCATGCTGTCCAGTTAGGGTTACCATTGCTGTGATCAAACACCATGACCAAAAGCAACTTGGGGAGGAGAGGGTTTATTTCTCTCACAGTTCCATATAAAACTTCATCATCAGAAGCAGTGAGGGCAGGAACTCAAGCAGGGCAGGAACCTGAGGCAGGAGCTGATGCACAGGCATGGAGGGGTCCTGCTTACTGGCTTGCTCATCACGGCTTGCTCAGACTGCTTTCTATAAAACCCAGGACCACCAGCCCAGGGATGCACCACCCACAATGGACTGGGCCCTTCCCTATCAATCACTAAGTTTAAAAAAATGCCCCGCGGGCTTGCCTACAGCCTGATTTTATGAAGGCATTTTGGTGATTGAGGTTACCTTCTCTCAGATGACTTTAGCTTGTGTCAAGCTGACATTAGATATCCAGCAAACACACTTCAGCCCAAACATCTTCCTCAAGCCCAAGACTGTCATATGTTGCTTTTCAACACTCTACTTACTGAACAATGGGCCTCACATACGGGAAGCCTAGAGCATAGCTCTTAGCCTGGTTTGCTCCCCAGAACTGCCATGCGCCTCGCCTCCCTTAGCATCCAGGTCTGGCACCTCTCAAATTCAGCACACACTCTCACTATGAGCAGTAAGACTATGGGCTGTCCTCTGAGTGCTGCTCTGTTTTCACTCTCAGGCAGAGGCAGCCTCTGGTTTGAGGGATTACTATTTTTCTGTCAAGAGCATTCTTACCCATGAAGGCTTTATCTCACCTGTTAAGGAAGCTCAGATGGCACCCGTCTCCTTGTTTACCACATTTTTCTGTGGTCACATGCTGTTTGAATTTTTGCACTTACTGGTATCTAAGGGGTCATTTATTTGTTCGTGTCTATTCCCGTCACCCACCTTACGTCTATATTTCCACACCTGGAACAGGACAGGTTATACTACATGGGCTCCAGGAATTGCTGAATAGTACAGGAGTGTGGGCACGTGATGGGGCACTGGGCTAATACCCAGCCTTCACCACCATTTCCCATACAAATCTGAGTGGCACAGGACACAGCATCAGTGTCAGCAAACAGCCCCCGGAGGACACTTGTGACTAAATGGCTCTGCTGGAGTTTTGATGGTGTTGTCTCAGCCTGGAGGCAGGAAATCTTTCTCAATAGGGTCCAGATGAAGCAGGTACACACAAAGCTAACTGTTAGGCTCAAGAAAACTCTGAGATAAAACACTGTGTAGCATCTGTAGAGAAGGAGCAGCAAGCCTGACTAATGCAGACTTGGCTGTCATGCTATACCAACAGACAATGTGGCTCTCTATATCGTACAGCCATCATGAAGGTGCTTACCAACATAACCAAACCAAGAGTGAACTGAGGCTGGGCGGTGGTGGCGCACGCCTTTAATCCCAGCACTCGGGAGGCAGAGGCAGGTGGATCTCTGTGAGTTCGAGGCCAGCCTGGGCTACCAAGTGAGTTCCAGGAAAGGCACAAAGCTACACAGAGAAACCCTGTCTCGAAAAACAAACAAACAAAAAAAAAAAAAGAGTAGAACTGAGAACTCCCTTGGGCCCTCCAGACCCCAGGGGTGGAGCTTCTTTTACTTACAGACTTCCGACAGGCTCGAGAAGCAAACATCTGCCTGACTCTTGAGGGCCGGCACATGACCCCAGGGCTGTCACTTAGCATAAAGATCAGTTCATCTATATCTTGGGGTCCAAAGGTCCAGTTTTTACTAGTTGGCAAGGAAATCAATTTAGCCCTTTCAGTGACTGGAGCTAAAAGAAAAAAAAAATGAGGAGAATCTATTATTGGAGAAAAGCGTTTTAGTTCATAGCTACTTCTAATGAAGACCCACACACCCAAAGGAAGGCAAGCACAAATGCTTCTAAGCTTTAAATACGCAACCCTACAGTCCTAATGGTTAACTCACCATCCTCATCAATGACAAAATCAAAGCCATTCTTTCTGAATATTTCCAGATTTTCTATCAGCACAGCTTCATTGACAGCGGTTAAGTTCAGAGTCTGGGGCCTGGAAAACAGGAGACTCAAACTATAAACCAAGGCAAACATCTGCCTACAGAGCAGAAGGGAAAGCAAATAGCACTACTGTGGTTGGCTTATAAAATGTCCCTTAAAAAGACCCACATGGACCAGACATGGTGCACACGCCTTTAATCTCAGTCTCAGGAGGCAGAGGCTGGCAGACTTCTGTGAGTTCGAGGCCAGTCAAGGTTTGTAGTGAGACCTTGTCTCAAACAAACAAACAAAAAAGCTCATACATACAAGGCTTCATAAGTGTGTACCACTCTACACCAGGCCTAATAAATTACTCTTCACCAACAGGATTTTCTGGCCATCCAGTGAACACTATCTCATACAGCTAAAAAGAGCTGATACCTAAAGAACATATTAGGTGTGAGACCTCAGGCAAGTTGATTAACATATCTGGGTGTGTGCCATTTTATTAGGGTGAGATGGTGATGGCAACAGCAACTACCTTGTATATCTGCTTGGATTAAATGGATAAACTGCTTCAACACAGTTTATCACATAATAGGTACTCAATCGATGGAAGCTATGACTATTATTATGTGAAAAGTATAAAAATGTGTTGCACCAGATGGGCAGTGGTGGCACACACCTTTAATCCCAGCACTTGGGAGGCAGAAGCAGGTGAATCTTTGTGAGTTCGAGGCCAGCCTGGTCTACAGAGTGAGTTCCAGGACAGCTAGGGCTACACAGAGAAACCCTGTCTTGAGAAACCAAAAAAAAAAAAGGTGTTGCACAGATTATTATGGCAAAAACCAACATTTATACATATATGGATATAAAGATTAGTATAAGCTATTTCATCTCAGATGGTGGGAGGGATGTGAGAAACAGCACTGGAAATCCCAAAGCCTGTGTGAACTCACGTGATAAGCCTCTGCACCTGGAGCACAGTGTGCTGCTGCAGCATCTCAAAGTTGTACTTCTCGTCCGCAGCATGCTGGTCCACCAGGAAGAGGTCCTCCTTCAGTTTGGTTATTATAAATCCCAGGTTAAATTGACCCAAGATCTCCATCTCTGCAAACATTGATTTACTGTAATACAAAACATTAGTTATAAGACATAGTTGAAGATTATTTCTGATTATAAACAGAACAATTTCAAAATAAAAGACAAAGTACTACAAAAGCACAATAGGAAAGGTAACAACTGTACTTTCTTTATAAACATAACATAACCATACATTAAGTGCTCCAGAGATGGCCTTAGTGACTACTGTCAATAATTTGACGTGTGCTTCTATACCTCTGCTTGTACATGAATTTCATTTTTAAAAATGAAAACAGAACTATGCATCTTCATTCCACTCGACTTTCATCACTGAATACATCACAGGCTTCTATAACTGTTTTTGTCTGATATAGTTGTTACTATGTTGTCTAGGCTTTTGAATGCCTCCTCCTTCAGCCTGCCAAGTAGCTGAAATTACAGGTGCATGCCAACACCACCCAACTTTAGATCTACTCCTACTTTCTGTTACTCATCCTGACCTCAACTTCACAGTCCTCCTGCTTCAACCTCCCAGGGGCTGGTCCTTCATTCTTAATGATACTAGAATTCAGTATGCACTATAGTTCATCTAATAAATTCTCCCCTGAAAGATATTCCTAAACTCATAATGCACACAAGGCAGTAATAAAACCCAGGAGAAATGCTCATATGGTCCAGCTTCCAGGGCATAGCACAGTAAGGACAGTGATGTGGAACCAACACTTGATCAAGAGGTGACTAGCCAGATGCCCTGATTCCCACGATGATCATCTGGAGGAAAAGTCTGTACTAGTTTAATGACCTGGATTAACAGAACCTTTGGCAGGTCTCTTTCTACAGGGACAGAATCTGGAGTCAGGCATGGTGGTACACATCTGTAATCCCAGCACTAAGGAGATAATTACAAGACTAAATTAAAAGTCATCCTGGGGTACATGAGGAAATCCTGTTTCAAGAAACCACACACACACACACTCACATCTACAAAAAACAGAAAGAAAAACAAAGAAACAAAAAAACCAAAACCAAAACAAGACAGAAAACTTGCCGCACATACTTGTAATCCCAGCAGTTGGGAGGCAAAGGCAAGAAACACTATCAGTAGTTCAAGGTCACCTTTAGCTACACCATGAGTTTTGGGCCAGCCTGGATTATATGAGACCCTGTCTCAAAAAACAAAAACAAAACAAACAAACCCAGGAAACCTGACACTGAATATGTGAAAGGCAAGGAGAAGTTAGTGAATAGAAATATCTTTGCCAAAGGGAGTAGAAAGCAAATGAACAATCTGTGGGGCCAAAATCAACCCCAAATTCAGTATCAGAATTGGAGAAAGGGGAGCAACGGGGAGGAAGGGAGAGAGGGAGAGAGAGAAAGAAATAGACTGGTTAGTCTATTGGGGGGTTGTGATGGTGGAGAAACCCGTGTGTTGGACTGTCCTCAAGCCATAGACAGATCCTGATGCTGAGGGAGGGCCACACTTGAGTCCAATGCCAGAAAAGAAGATAACATCTACACAGTGCAACGAATGATGACATCCAGGACACCCAGAGAAGCCAACTCTAAATCTCTACAAAGTCAGCCTCTGGCTCAGTCAAAATAACCAATCACAAGCCTGACCAAAATACCATTAAGAACAAACAGTACCTAATCTCTTTTCTGAGTTCATCTTCTGCCGCTTGATTTTCTCCAGGGCAAATCTTGGCCCTAAATTTCCTGTAACTCTGCTCACTTTCATTCTGCTGCTTCTGGTGCTGTAACTGCTTCACCCGTTTAGCTAAAGAACTCATAGAAAAGTCCAGGAGCACTATTTTCTTATTAATTTTCACAGCTACATCAACCTGAGCTGCTGAGGTGTTCTGAGTATCAAGCAACCTTGGAGGAATGTCAGTATTTGAAGGGCTTTCTTCCGTCTTGACACGCTTAGCGTTTGACGAAGAGTGAGGAGTTGGTGGAGGCAAAGCTGTACATTTATATTTGCTATCTTCTTGCTTCAAATGGTGTCCTGTACCTGAAAGATGGCAGTCCATTCCAAGTAACTGCTCACCACAGTCCATGGTTTCCTGTGAAGATCTGTCTTCTGGAGAGCTCACTGTAAAGTCACTGCTAAAGCTACTGGCCACTTCTGGGGTGCTGAACCCTTCCTCAGAGCTGGCTGAGGTGCTGCTGAACCCTGAGTCTTTTTCTATTTTCACTCTGTCCATACAGTCACCAGGGCTCTTCTTGGGACTCACCACTTTGTCCTGGGAGCCACAAAGACCTCTATAAGAGATGAGATTCGAAGGACAAGAAGATGGTACACCCCTTTTCTGAAGTGGATAATTCTGTCTCAGTTCAGGGGTCACTGGGCCCCAAGACTTGGTCTCTGTGGTAGGATGAAGAGAAAAGGCCTCTCTCAGCCTGGAAATGGATGCTACCCTTTTCTCATCTGCTGTGATCTTCAATGAAGGAGAATTATCTTGCTTTCCTGACACAGGCTTTTCTATTTCTTCTGTGTGCATCTTTACGAAGTTACCTAAGCAGAAAGGAACAGAGAAGAGCATCAGTAAAGTACTGAAGAGGAACAAGAGGATTGTTTTTGACATGAACAGGGATTTCACAGAGGAAGAGGCCAAACTACAAATAAAATATGGCAACACCGGCCAGAACCCATCTTAAAGCGGAAATAAAGAAACCTAAATATGTGCACATCTGTGACCCAGCTCTGCTCCTCCATCAGAAATGCCTATCACACCGGGCATGAGTAGCTTATGATGCCTGCACTGAGGCAGCTATGCTAAGAGGACAGAGAATTGCAGCCTAGCCTGTGTGAGACATAGAGACCCTGTCTCATAGAAACAAAGCTCAGCAGGCAATAGTGCTTGCTGCTTTTCTACAGGATTTCAATTCAGTTCCCAGCACCTGTGAGGGCAGCTCATAACCTCTTTAACTCCAGCTCTGAAGACTTCTAGACTCTCTGAGTATCTGCACTAATATGGCAGATACACACATGCACAAAGATACTTTTTTTTTTTAATCTTAAAAAAAAAAAAACAACCAAAAATACCCAGCAAATACTTATGCTTCCTAGAAGATGTCTGAGGGTGCTCATGACAGCTCTTTCCTGTAGCCTCACACTGGAAGCAACTTGAATACCCACACACATAATTGCTGATATTTGACTTGAGTGAAATACTATATAGCCATGAGAATGAATGAATGAGTGAATGACTACATATGGCTTTGATGGGCCCTATATAAAGTAATCACAAGACAGCACAGACTGAATGACTCCATGTCTCCCAGTCTCAGCCTGTTTCTGTATTTCTCCCACTCTTGTTATGGAGCCATAGCTAGGACAGAACTCACTATATAGATCAGGCTTGCCCTAAACTGTGGGAGATCTTCCTACCTCAGTTTCACAAATGCTTGGATTACAGACATGTGTCACTACACCTGGCCTTCATAAACTTTTAAAGAAGTGTTTATATGATAGTGTGTGTGTGTGTGTGTGTGTGCGCGTGTGTGCGCGCACATGCTATGAGTGTGGAGATCAATAGTGTGTGTGTGCGCACATGCTATGAGTGTGGAGATCAGGACAACCTCAAGTGACAATCCTCACCTTTCACCTTGAGACTTTTTTTTCAAAGACAGGGTCTCACTATGTCTCCCTGGTTGGCATGGAATTTGCTATGTAGACCAGGCTGGCCTTGAACCCACAGAGATCTGCCTGTCTCTCCCTCTGAGTGCTGAGATTAAAGTTGTGCAGCACCATTTACAGCCTCTAATATACTTTCTACTGTGACATTTTCTCTTAACAGAAAGATTCTACTTCATGTCAAAAGTCACCATGAGAAAAAAGTCAGTATCACAATGACTACAACCTTTAGAAGGCTATATCACTGTGTTTTTCTTACCTTCAATATCCAGCAGTGGCTGCTGGTTGACATTAAGCTTGTTTGCATCGCTGTCGAACATGCCTATCAAGGAGGTCTTTAAAACTGCCAGCAAAAGCTTCTCCTCCTGTAGTAAAATTTGCCTTTTATCTGGAGTCACATTAATATCAACACATTCTAAGGCAAAGAATAATACATATGCTTAAGCTCACCTTTAGCAATACGATTTTAACCATTTACTATTTCATTCATTTGTACTATTAATTAAAATCAGTCAAGATTAAAATAATGGTGTCCAAACTAGTATTCATAAACTATAAAATTTCTTTTTTGGGTATATACACGTGTATGTGTATGTGCACAAATGTGTGGCTGGACATACATGTATGTTTGTGGAGGCTAGAGGTTGACAACAATTGCTTCTCCACCTTATTTTCCAAGATAAGGAACCTCACTGAACCCGGAGCTCACCAATTTGGCTACACTAGTTGGGAAATAAGCCCTAGATATCCTCTTACTGCTACCTCTGGGCACTGAGATTCCAGGCATGCACAGCTGTACTCAGCTTTTTACGTGTGCTAGGTGGGGATCTGAACTATGGTCTTCACACTCGCCCACTAAGCACTACCTATTATGCCATCTCCCCAGTCTATAAAGTTACTTTTTTAAATAAAGGAGGAAAATAATAATCTTATCTCTATTTTTAAAATTGTTATTATTATAGCATCATCATCACCATGTTTAGACAGTGTCTCGTGCAGCCCAGGCCGGTCTTGAACCTGCTATGTAGCTGAGGATTATGGGACAGCTACCCTGGAGTATGAAGTGCAGCAGCAGAAACAAGGGCGACTGCCTCAAGCTGAAGAGAGGGCTTAGAGGTCAGGAGCACACACTGCTCTTCCAGAAGACCAGACTTTGATTCCCAGAACCCACATCCGAGGGCTCAAAACCACCTGTAACCACAGCTCTGTCAAGACCTCACACCTCTGACCTCTGCAGGTACCTGTACCATGTGTGTGCACATGCATGTGTACATAGATGCCCACGGGGTGGAGGAGGGTGCTGGATTTCCTGGAGCTGGAGTTATAGGCAGTTATGAGTTGCCTGACATCAGTGCTGGAATCAATCTCCAGTGCTCTGCAAGAGCAGCAGGAACTCTTACCCACTGACCCATTTCTCCAGCCCCCCCAAATTTTTTTTAAGTACTTTTTAATGACTTGGAAAATACAATGTTCATATCTACAAATAAAGATAAAAATTATTTTCTTCCACAAATGTTAATGTGTGTGGAGTGCATGTTTGCACACATGTGCATGGGCATGTCTATTTCAAAAAAGGCATACACACATATAAAAGTATCTAGAAAATGTGGATCTAAATAAGTCAGAATTGGCAACAAAAATTACATATGAAATTAATTTTTCAAAATCAAGGAGAACCTGTAAGTATACTTATATTTTCTCCCTTTGTTCAAGTTTAAAGTTACATTTCCTAATAATACAATGAGCAGTGTTTTAAATAGGATGCAGGATGGTCATTATAAAAAGTAAAATTACATGATCAGTTATTTTCTATTCAGTCATATCAGAGCTTTATAATTTCATTTTATAAAGAAACAGTCCAAAGTTTTTATTGAAACCTCAATGGAACTTACCTGAATCAACGGAAATGTTAAGAACAACATATGGATATTGATGTCGATTATACATGTGATAAACCTCATTTACAAGTTTAGAGACCTGTCCAAGAAACAGAGATGAGAGAAAAATAAATGTTCTGTCCCTATGCTGCTCTAACAACAAGCTATTCTAACCTATCACCAAAGCCATCTATTTCTAGTAAGCTTTATTAAACTTACATGGCATTAAAGCATTTTTTCCATGTAGAGTTTCGTGCAGCCTACCTAAGGATGACTTTGGACTCTGATCCTCCTGCCTCCACCTTGAGTGCTGGGATTGTAGCCATACATCACCACTCCTAGATAAACGCAGTGCTAGAGACTGAACCAAGGCTTTGCAAGCACTCTATTAACGTATGAACGGTATGCAGTAAACTGCATATTCTTCACTATAACATTTAGCTAGGCCTTAACATACAGACCCCAAATCCCAGGTACTCAAGAGGCTGAGGTGGGAAGATGGAAAGTTCAAGGCCAGCTTGGGTTACAGAGTGAGTTCAATGTCAACCAGGATAATTTAGTGAGACCTTGTCTAGTCTCACCAGAAAAACAAAAAAAGGAAAAAGAGGGCTGGGGAAATAGTTCAGTGATACAACAACTGTCTAGAATGTGGGAGACCCTGGGTTCAATATTCAGCGTTGATAAAACAACAAAAACCTCTACAATTTGATGTCTTAACACAGTGTAAATATAGACATATATACATATGCATACTTGTGAAGGTATCCTACAATCAAAATAACAAATATATACACTATTGGAAAAGTTTCCTCACAGTCTTCAAAGGGATTTATTTGTTTGTTTCAGGGACTTGCTATACCAGCTGTCCTCTGTAGGTAAAGTGACTAGATTAAATAGACTCTGAAAACTCTATCTTCCCAACCCAAAGATGTTCTTCAAGAAATTTCTGCCAGGTATGGTGGTAGACACTTAGAACCCCAGTGTTTTAGAGGCTGTGGCAGGAAGACTGAGACAGGTAGGAGGTAAGATGGACGGACAGACAGAATGCAGGTGCAGTTCAATGTGTGTAAAGTATGTTCAAGTGTACTTAGGTACATAGTTATAGGATATCACAATGCAATTATTAAATGACATTAGAGACAAATCACGCTAATTTTAAAATGTAGAAATTGGGTCACACTCAGAATGCAATCAAATTTTAAAGTGTCACTAGGAAACAAAATATCACCGAGGTCGTTATTACTGAGGATGCAGAGTCAGAGCCAAGTCATTAAAGCCTCATAGGGACACTGGATAATCGGTTCAGTCTAAGGCACAGCTAAATCGGGGTCCATATTTTTCTGTAAAATTGACAAAGGGAAGAGAAAACACACAAATGCATGTGGTCAGTCTGCAATAAAAAGTTTTTGGAATGTCAACTTTCTTCCAGTCGTGATAGGTTTTTTTTCCCTCTTTGGTTTTTCCATACAGTGTTTCTCTATGTAACAGACAGTTTTTATGATAGTAACTATATTAATAATACGTAATTTTATACACACATAAAATTGAAACAACTGTAGACTTTCCTAAATTTGTAAGATAAGGTAATTTTAAAAATTTATTATCCATTTTCACGTGTATGGATGTTCTGCTTGCATTATGTCTATGTGTCATGTATGTGCCTAATGTCTGAAGCGGTCAGAAGAGGGTATCAGATCGTCAAGAGATTGGAGTTACAGACAGTTTTGAGTCACTATGTGGGTGCAGGGAATCGAACACTGGCTGCTCTTAACCACTGAGTCATCTCTCCAGTCCCCAAGTAAGATCATTTTAAAGGCATGTTTCTGAGGCAGCTCCAAGTTCCATTTAATTGTCTGTATCAGACAGTCATGAGGAGCTGGGGGGACAGCTAAGTTAGTAGAATGTTTGCCTTGCATGCAGGAAGCCCTGGGTTCAAGTACTAGTACCACATAAACCAGTCATAGTGGTCCAAACCTGCGGTCCCAGCACTCAGAAGGTGGAGGTGGAGGAGAACCAGATGTTGAAGGCCAGTCCTGGCTACACAGTGAAGTTTGAGGCCAAACAGGACTACACGAGTCTCAAAACAAGCAAGCAAACAATGAGAATACCTTTGCTGGGTCACAAGGACGCTGATTGATGAAGAAAAACTGTCTGTCTGTGGAGCTCCTTCCAGTACCATGCGTACAGTGTGAAATGAAGCCTGAAATGCTGTCAAAAGGAATACAAGAATGATGGGTCTGGCATGAAAAAGGTTGCAACAGCACAGGAAACTTTCTTCGTTCCTTTTGAGGCAGTCTCACCATGTAGTTCATGATCTCACGATCCTCTTGCCTCACCCCTGGGTGCTAGGATTCCAGGTGTGTGCCATGGTACCCAGCTTATCACAGAGCACATTCTTAAAATCAAGTCAGAATAGAAAAGCTGGTGACCCGCCCATCAGGATAAACCCCACAAGAATAATCAGCCACACATTCCCTTTCCTTGTAAAAGTTGTTCTCAGGGGAAGGAGGACAGCTCTGTTGGTAAAGTGCTTGTTGTAAGCACTTAGACCTCATTAGACCCCAGAATCCACATTTAAAAAAAAAAAAATCCAAGCACTGTGGTGTAGATGTATCCAACCTTCTTATTAAATAAGAAACACAGAACCAATGCAAAGAAGAAAGCCAAGAGGTCAGAGCTAAGAGCTAAAACCTTACCCTTCCTCCTGCGGTGGTCCTACCTCTCCGAACCAGAGCTACCACTGTGTTAAAGTCTTTATATAGAGTTCCTGTCCTGCCTTCTCAATGGTTGTAAATCCAACCACATGACCGCCTCCTCACGGCTTGTCTGTATAGGCCTCCAGGTTTTCCATGATTGGTATTAAGATTAAAGGCATGTGTATCCAATAATGGCTGTATCCCTGAACACACAGAGACTTACCCAACTCTGCCTACCAAGTGCTGGAATTACAAGCGTACGCTACCACTGCCCTGCTTTCCTATGACTTGCTAATAGCTCTGACCCCCGGGCAACTTTATTTATTAACATACAAATAACATTTTAATACAAATAAAATATCACCATACTGTGGTCCATCCACACTTGAAATCCCAGTGCAGGAAGGTAGAGACAGGCATATATCTGGGGCTCACTGGCCAGTCAGCTTAGCCCACTTGAGGAATTCCAGGCTACCGAGAGAGATCCTACCTCAAAAAATAGGTGGATGGTGCCTGAACAATGACACTAGAAACTGGATCTTTGGCCTTCACGTGCATGAACACACACACACACACACACACACACACACACACACACACACACACACACACACAAAACCTGTTTAGTCAGCCTCCTTTGTAAAATTCTTCACATACACAAACACACACAGATAGAGAATTCATTCTCTACAAGCACAAAATTAAAAAAATAATAAAATATTTGGGCTCCCCAACATGAACTTTTATGTAGGCACATAAGGCCTTGGTGAGTTTCTTGCTCTGTAAGAGTCCCATCCCAGGATTGTAAAAACCTTCACATATAGAGATGTCCACCTGTGCCAGCTAGTTTCTGTCAACTTGACACAAACTAGAATTGCTTGGGAAGAGGGAATCTCAGTGGAGAAACTGCTTCCATCAGGTTGGCTCGTGGGCATGTCTGTGGGGCATTTTTTGATTAATGATTGATGTGGGAGGGCTCGGCCCACAACGGTAAGAGCCACTCCAGGGAGGTGGGCCTGCGCTGTAAAAGCAAACTGACCAAGCCTCGGGAAGTAAGCCAGGAAGCAGCGTTCCTCTGTGGTTTCCACTTGAGTTCCTGCCTCGGCTTCCCTTGATAGCTGTAAGCTGTAAGGTGAAACAAGCCCTTTCCTCCCTAGGCTGCTTTTGGTCAGCTGTTTATCACAGAAATAGGAAGCAAACTAGAACACCATCTTTGCAATTTGATGATAAGTCAAAAAACAACAGAGATCTTCATGGGGCAATCCTCCTTATGGAAGTGTCCATATTTCATACACTAAACACAATAGAGCTGGACAACTTTAAGAGATCCCAAAGGTCAAACATTATACATAAAATAATTAAAAATTATTCTAACTAAAGTAGACTAATTTAACAGAAAACCCTTTTAAATGTACCAGCTACTGTTTGAATCAAGTTAAGACACTGTCTTTTTGATGCATTCTTTCTTAGCAGTACAATCACTTTACACCTTAAAATCACTATTCAAACAAACAAACATAAACCACACCCTCAGGAAAAGTGGTTGTAGTTTTCCTGGCAGCAATCAATGTACTTACTGGAAAAGATTATGTGGAGTCTTAGAACCGCTCAGGCCATACTCTTCACAAACAGAATCACTAGGGGGCAGCTGAACAAAAGGAATGAGGCTTTGCAACTGAAAGAAACCAAGAGTAATGGGTGTTCCTAAGACAGAAGGCACCAAACTTCAGGGAAAATACAGTATGTTTTCTTTCCAGGTCAAGCTATGCCTCATGAAGAGCAGAGATAGATAGATAGATAGATAGATAGATAGATAGATAGATAGATAGATAGATAGATAGATAGAGATGATAGACAGACAAATAAAAAATAAAAAAATTCGTGCCGGGCGGTGGTGGCGCACGCCTTTAATCCCAGCACTCGGGAGGCAGAGCCAGGCGGATCTCTGTGAGTTCGAGGCCAGCCTGGGCTACCAAGTGAGTCCCAGGAAAGGCACAAAGCTACACAGAGAAACCCTGTCTCGAGAAAAAAACAAAAATTCAAAGAATATTGACAACTACTTTGTAGTGCTATAATGACTTCAATTTGTTTACTAGAAAAATGAATCACCTGAGCTCTTACTTTATGACATTATGTTTTTCAGAAAGAGAGACAAGAAATATTAAAGGACACAGTATTTCATTCTCTAAGAATAAAATTTTAAAACTTTTCAGCTCCCAGACATTAACTTTAGCTGTAGCATACTTAAATATCTCTTTTTGGGTTTTAGTCTCTGTGAAGGACACCAAAACCTGCTACAATCACTAGAGCAATCACAATCTCAAGGGGCTGAAAAGATGAGGCTCGGGGGCTAAGAGCACATACTTAGTACTCTTCCCAGACCTGAGTTCAGTTCCCAGCACTCACATCAGGTGGCTCACAATCACCTGTAACTCCAGTTCCAGGAGATTTTATACCCCTGCCCTCTGCAGCACCAGCAGTGTGCATGCCCACCCACTACACACACATAATTAAAACAATAAATCTAAAAAACAAAACATTTTCAGTAGCTGGCCAGCCCCTACCTGCTTCTGGCCAAACACAGAGCCGATATTTTCCTTCATGCTGGAGCTTCCGCTTGTGCACACCACAGGTTGTCGTTTTCCTTGTCCAAGCTGATTAGTGCAACTTACACGGATGCCTGTTGAAATGACACAGTATGCCTGTAAGACCTGGACCATTTTGGCATACTCCTGTTTGAGAAACACAAATAAAAGATTACTTTGATCTTAGAGGGATTGCATGCTGCACTTCCAACATCCAACTCAAGGTTCTACGCAGCCTTGAAAACAAAACAAGGGGAAGAATCACTGACACCAGGACCTATGCAGAATCATCCCACATATGCTGTAAAATGAGACTCGGCTTTGGCTCCAGGGCTAGAAAGACTTTGACTCCAAACATAAGGTGGACCGTGACAGAGGACTCAAGATGTTGACCTTTGGTCTCCATATGCATACACAGAAAGCACATTTCTAAGCCAGGTATGGTGGGTGCATGCCTATGATCTTAGAAATTCATGAGGGTTAAGTAGGAAGATCATGAGGTCCAGGCCAGCCTGGATAACAAAGTGGAACCCTCTCCCAAAAACTAAAACAAGTGCATGTCCTCTGAACTTAGAATGCTTCATTTAGAAATTTATTCTTCTTGTTTTCAAGACATGATCTCCCTATGTAATTCAAGATGGCCTACAATTTGATGCTTTTCTGCCCACATCTCTTGGTTCCTGGGAATACAGGTGTGTGCCTCCATCATGGCTCTTATTGTTTTATAAGAAATTTTATACTTGTAAAAAGATTAGCATAAACGGGGTTGGGGATTTAGCTCAGTGGTAGAGTGCTTGCCTAGCAAGCACAAGGCCCAGGGTTCGGTCCTCAGATTTGGAAAAAAATAAAAATAAAAAATAAAAAATAAATAAAAATAAAAATAAGATTAGCATAAACAAAGACAAATTTAAAAAATGCTCACTAGTTGAGCATGTTAGCTATCATGGTTACTTGATACATGGTTACATGATAACAAGTTGGCTTGTTCTGTAAGGTCTCTATCAACTTGACACAGTCTAGAGGCATTTTGGGAAGAGGTATCCCAACTGAGAAAATACACCCAACAGACTGGTCTGTGGGGGCAGTTTCTTGATCAATGACTGATGTGTGAGGGCCCATCTCCCTGGGGGTGGTGCCACTTCTGGGCACATGGCCCTGGATGGTATAAGAAAGCAGGCTGGAGCCAGGCGGTGGTGGCGCATGCCTTTAATCCCAGCACTCGGGAGGCAGAGCCAGGCGGATCTCTGTGAGTTCGAGGCCAGCCTGGTCTCCAAAGCGAGTTCCTGGAAAGGAGCAAAGCTACACAGAGAAACCCTGTCTCGAAAAACAAAACAAAACAAAACAAAAACAAAACAAAAAAAAAAGAAAGCAGGCTGATTGAGCTATGGGGAACAAGCCAGTAAGCAGTATTCCTCTATGATCTTTGCTTTAGTTTCTGAGCTGGCTTCCCTTCATAACAGACTTAATCAGGACACATACGCTGAAATAAGCCTACTCCTCTCCAAGTTGCTTTTGATCATAGTCTTTTATCACACCAATAGAAAGCCTAACTAAGACAGTGGCCCACATCTGTAATCCTAGCATTTAAGAAGCTGAGTCAGGAGGATCATCTTGAGTTTGAGGCCAGTCTGGGCTATGTAGTGAGTTTCAGGTCAGCCTGTGCTATAGTATGAGATCCTGTTGCAAACATGAAAAAAAAAAAACCAAAACCAAACCAAACAAAAAGAGGTTCATTAAAAATAAAGACAAAAAAAAATACTGTAGAAACAGGGCTGAAGAGTTGGCTCAGAGGTTAAGAGCATTTGTTGAGACCTACACGGTTTCTCACAATCTTTTGTAACTTCAGTCCCAGGAGACCCAATGCTTTCTTCTGACCGCAGAGGGCACCAGGCATACATGTGGTGTACAGACATATATATAGGCCAAACATTCATATTCATACACATAAAATAAAAAATAAATTAAGCAAACAAACAAACCCTTAGAAACAATTGAAGCAACCATTAGCAAGGAGCTAATTAAGTATATCTATATCATGGAAGAATGATGAAAAGATAGTACAAAGTTACCAAAAAAGGTAATTACAATATGTGAAAAGTCAGTTGTGCAATAGTGCATATGGCATGATCCTGTTTCAGGAAACCACAGCTGGGCATGGTGGCACACACCTATAATTCCCCCGTTTAGGAGATGGAGGTAGGAGTTGACAAGTAAAGGCCAGAACAGACATAATGAAACCAGTCTCAAAAACAATTTTTTTTTACATTTTTAAATTAAAGGAAGAAAATTAACTGATAAACATCTTTGATAAATTTCTTTCTCATATACTACATTAGCAAAACTTCTGAAGGCTGGGATTGTGAATTTACCAATACCTTTTTAATATTCCTTTGAAATTCTTTGTGACGCACAGGTAGTGTATAAAACAAGTGCTGCACGCTGACTGTTGTTCCTTTGGGTCGGGGGTAGGGAGTTTTCTGGGTGATTTTCCCATTGTGGTCTAACACCAGTCGAGTCCCAATGCTTGCAGACACGTGGCAGGTAGATATAGTGACATCACTGTAAGAGAATGCCAGATGGCATGTCCAGTTAGAGATGCACCAGGGTGGCCAGGATGTGGCTCAGAAGTAGAGCACTTGCCTATCACTTGCTTCAGACTCATAGTTCAATCCCTAGCATTGCAAGGGTCTGTGTGGAGAAATCTAAGGAACTCACAGGGTTGGACACAGAAAACCTTTGCCTGCTTTCCTTTCTCTCAGAACTTTCTTGAAAAGGTGATATTCTTCAGAGACAATTTAGGTTTTAAGTAAGGAGTCACAATAACATCTAAAGTTGGGCCCCAAAGGATGGTGAGACAGTTTTATAAATGCTTTGTTCTTGTGAAAGATTTCATTTTTTAAGTTGAGTTGCAAAACGATGAACTCAAATTCTGTTCTCAGAGCTTTATTTCTCAATTTAGTTACTAACAAAACTTTTACAAAGAATCCAAAAGACATAACAACATCACTGTAATTAATAGGGCTTTCATTAAATCTTTTCCTAAAAACTGAAAAACTAAAATTGATGGTACTCATAATTTATCATCTATGCATTACTTTATTTATTTTTGCAGTGCTATTGGTTGACCCTAGACATCATGCATTGCAGGCAAGCACTCGGCTGCTAAGCTACACCCCCAGGCTCTGTACTTTAAGGTTAGTACATAACTGTTTTAAGACAGGCAGTGACTTTTTCACAATACTATTTGCTTCATTTCATTCCTTTATTTCTCACATTCCAGAAATATTAATTAGATTGGCAGCCGGATAAGGAAAATTTAGAAGTTAGTGTCAAGATATTCCAATAGTAAAGGAAAAACAATGATTCTAATCATGTTTATAAATGTTCAGAAGTTTTTACAGAAAGCATCAAATTGATGAATATAAGCATCACCTACCTCAGTGCACACAGTGAGCTCAGAGCCTCCCCCCGAAAACCAAAAGTTTCAACCTGAGTCAGGTCGGCAAACTCTTGTATCTTAGAAGTGTGATGTTTCAGAGCTGAAAGAGAGTGGAAAGAAAGACCAAAAATGTCTTAAGTGAGAGACCAAAGGACAGAGACAATATCTATCACGATATGTGGTGCAAAACAGTGTTACTCAAACTTCTGAGACACATGGAAACCATTACTTTAGTATTTGGAACATTTATCTTACCCAGACCTTCAAAGTTTTCTTCTTCTACCCCACATCCATTGTCTGAAACTTCAATGAGGTCCACCCCATAGTCTTTAAGCCTTATATCTAAAAAATTCAATAAAATAAATAAAAATATTTATTTCTCATGATTAATTCAGGCTAAAAGTTTTTACGTTGACAATGCAAACTCAGCAGTCATGTCTACACTTTTACTTAAAGATACTGCTGTCACTCTGCAGGGTGTGTACATGTGTGTGTGTGGCACCGAAGATCAAGCCGAGGATGCTACAGATGCTAGGCAAGCACTCTACAGCGGAGTCACAACCCTAGCCCTGCATGTTTTATTTTTGAAAGTCCTTCTGGATTATCTGTAAACCCAGATTAAATAGTTGGTTTATTATTATTATTTCAAAAGGAATGCTTTTAATATAGTCATTAAGAAAAGGTTCAGGTTGGAGGGATGGCTCAGTAAGGCTAGGTTCACAACCAAAAATATAAGAACAGGCTCTGCAATCAGAGTTTCTAGATCATATTTTATGGGCTTTATAGCCTCAATAAAACCAAATTCCTGGTACTTCAGTTTCCCTGTCTCTATAACAGAGATAGTAACTCCCAAATCATAATAGTCTACATACTAAGTAAGACATTTCATATATAATTTTTAGCATGATGTCTACACACAGTGTTATTTAATTCTTATTCCCTAGCTAAATATTTGGCATGGAATTGCTGTATAACAGTTTTCTCTGATTTGAAAGATTCCTTACAGGATGGAGGGGGCTCATGAGGCTCCAGAGGTCATTAAACGTCACAAGTCTGGGAAAGCTGAAACTCCAAAGCTGGCAGAGTTCCTGGGATGTAGCTTCCTGGGATCACCACTCAAGCTGGGGTAGGTGTTTCGGTAATGTAGCTGCTTTTGAATTATTCCTGATCCTGTAAATAACCCACTCTTCATCCATATTTGTCAGTAACATCAATAAATACTGATTAATTCACCAAGCTGGAATGAGGTACACCTGTTACTCTGGTCTGTCAGAGTTCCCTATCAATGGTGAGTGGACCTGTGTATGTTGCATTTTCCCAGGAAAAGTCTCTCATACAACAACTAAGTGCTAACTTCAAAATAATAATTATTGGTATGGCAGTATTTGTTTTCTAATAATTCAGGAATGTTTCTTAAATAAATAACACAAATGATTATTTTTTGTTGCTTAAAACTGTTCCAAACTTACCAATACTGGTAGCACCAGCGTCCACACTATTTTCTATCAGCTCCTTCACAGCAGTGCTTAAACTGAGTACCACCTGCCCAGAACAAATTTGATGGACTGACTTCCCATCAATAGGCCTGATGGCCTTAGCAAGTTCTGTACTAAAAGAAATCATACAAAACACAAAACAAATATTTAGACAAAGCAGATAATTTATTTTCACTATGGTAAATGATTCATCTGTTACTAGTTAGTCTAACCCATTCATTCATTCATTCTTTTCTTTTTTTCTTTTGGAAATAGAATTTCTCTGGGTAACAACCCTAGTTGTCCTGGAATTCACTGTGCAGACCAGGCTGGCCTAGAACTCTGGCCTGCCTTTGCTTCTGCCTCTGCCTCCTGAGTGCTGGGATTAAAGGTATGCACTACCACTGCCCCACCCCATTCATTCTTTATATGAACACGTTCACTATACTTGTAGATATGAATGTACTACAATCTTTAAACATCTTTTAACAGATATTTGAAACTATCCTATATTGAAATTCTAATTAAATCTACCTGGAGGAGACATGTTGTATCCCTTAAGCTACAGATCAATAAGCTTTTATGACAATGAGATCTTCAATCTTGAAAAGTTAAAGCAGCATTTTTTTCCTTTGACACAATTTGTAAAAAGTTAAAGTTGCTTTTGGAAAATGAATCCAAATTCAAACTGCCTACATTGCTCTGAGGAAAGTCCTCAAAGTTCATGTTTGAGACAAAGGCTCTCTACATAGTCTACATAGCCCAGACTGGCCTAGAATTTAAGATCCTCACCTTGGCCCCAGGTGATGGGATCACAGGCATGCACTACTACACTCAGCTGTTCACATTTCTTGCTGCTTTGTTGGCTTGTCTCCAGTCTATCCATGCTTCCATTCATTTTGGTTTGCTTTCTGTTTCTTTGGACACAGGGTCCAATCTAGCCCAGGATGGCCTCAAACTCCCTGTGTAGTCAAGTATAACTATAAACTCCCTATTCTACTGTTCCCCTGCCACCACCAGTGCTATGATTACAGGTGTGAGACAATGGGCTTGGTTCCCATCAGTTATTTTTGTAATCACAAATCCAGCCAAACAATCTCTAGGCTTAAATTTTTAGTGGTGCCCATTGTCTATCATATGAAAGTCTAGTCATGACTAGGTTCCAATTTACCATCATTAATTCTCTAGTGGTTTAGTCACAGTAAAGAATGGTTTCCTGGCTATTAAAAGCTCCATTAAAGTATAATGGAACATAGCTTCCTTAGGGGAGAGATCTTTGGGTATTTTCCATACGGTCTAACACATACTAGACTTCCAAAAAACCCTGATGAAATAAATAACAAGCCTTTTTTCTCTTCATTCTACCTTGCAAAGAATCTCATTTGTTTGGCCCTGGGATCATTTAATCACAACACTCAGGCATCTGAGGTAGGAGGAGCCTGAGTTCAAAGCCCTACCTCAAAAACAAAACAAAACAAAACGTTTCACTTGTCTATAACGTCTAACTTCAGAGGATCTCATATAAAATGCAAACTACCTAAAATTGGTTCATTCTGCAACAGGTCTATTTCTGGTACTTTGAGTGTGGGGAAATGGCAATTATTTAAATACAGACAGCAAATTTGCATCTACAAATCTGTCACTGAATGTAACTGTGCTGGCTTTCGAAGATATGCTTCACTGACTTTGACGCCACATGTGAACAAGACATCAAATACATAGAAGTATGGCAACTTAATAAAATCTAAAAAAAAAAACCAAAACCAAAACTATTGACTGCAAAATTAGCGTCAGTCTTTGCCTCACTCTCCAAGTCCTCAATTATAAACACTCAAAAAAACAAAACAAAGCCCCCAAACCAGAATTCTGTTTACAGATACTTATTTTCATGCTCGGTTTCAAGTCCACGGCCTGTGGCCCGAGGACGCCGAGGGATCGCCTGAGTCTTTCAGCTTCCTCACAGGGAACCAGGCCCAGGGTGAGGGGAGCGCCGCTCTGGGTCCCCGAACTTGCCCCGCGCCTCAGGGACTTCCGGTCCTTTCGAGGAGGCCGAATACTGGGAACTTCGGAGAATGCACCCGGAGGGGAGACTGCAAGCCCGGCTCACCTCGCAACCTCGGTTTGCTCCATGGACTTAGCACTCCTCCAGCCTCAGGAACTGCGGGAGAGTTCGCGCCGCTGTTCCCGTGGACGCTCATCTCCTGGGGCACCCATTGGCTGCTTTTGACATATAGCCCCGCCCCTTCCGGGAGGGGTGGCGAAGGTGTGCCAAGACCTTCTTACTACCGATTGGCTACTTCAAAGGTCGACTTGGTGACGTCAGAACGCCCCGGCCAATAAAGGCTCACAGACCTCATTTTTCCGGAACGCCAGCAGCAGGGTCAGGAAGAAGGCGGCTACTGTCTGAGGTGGCCTTGGGCGGCCTCTGAGCGTTTGTGTCCCTCGCCCGCTACCTTCCTTCTTTGTTCCCGCCATGCCGATGTACCAGGTAAAGTCCTATCATGGAGGCAGCGCACCTCTGCGTGTAGAGCTTCCAACCTGCATGTACCGGCTCCCCAACGTGCACAGCAAGACAGCCAGCCCCGCGACCGACGCGGGCCACGTGCAGGTAGGAGCGTGCGGCCCCTGCCTAGTGCGCAGGCGCTGGCCACGCCGCGCCCTGTCCTATTCCTTGTTCCGTCTAGTGCGCCGGCGCTGCGGCTCCGTAGGGCCCTGGTCCCTTCTTAGTCTGGGTCCGACAAAACCCACCTGGATCAGTGCTGCCGTGGGTTCTTGTCGCGATCGCCAGCTGCACAGAAAAGTGAACAACACAAAAAAATGATCATTCCGAGGAATTTACGGAGCGATCCCAGGGTCGCTATAACTCAGTTTGACAGTTTTAGTGACCCATCCCTCCCATTTGCAACTTTTCCATAAGAGGTCCTGACTTTTACTGTAGTTATGTGTTGTTTTCGCAGTTAGGTTGTTGAGTATGTATCCTTAAGCTGTGTGATCTTGATGCACTAGTAGCATATAGTATGTGTTCTCTTGTCTGGTATGCTGTACAAGATTTTCAGTCATTTTTGTTGCAACGACAGTGATCGTGTTTCTTTATATTGCCTGGCTACACCCCACTTAGTTATCTACCCTACCCCCACTCATGGGCACTGGAATTTATAGACCAGCTAATATAAATAGGCTGTAGAGGAATTCCTGGTCTAGTGGGCGGGTCTGTCTTCCACTTTATTTGGATAAATTGTTTTCCAAAGTGGTTATACCGGTTTATGCTGTCACTAGCAGAATAATGTAGGCATCCTAATGTAGTTTTAATTTGGATTTCTCCAATTTCTAAGTAAGTCGAGGTCCTTTTTCATGTTTCCTGGCCGTAAGAATTGGAGCAGAAACAGACAGCCCTTTGGACAGGGTTGTGTTTGAACTCATGTAGCCAAAGATGACCTTCAGCTCCTTCTCTGGCCTCCACCTCTCAAGGACTGAGATTAGAAGTGTGTGCCACTTTGCCTAATTCAAAATGATTATCTTACCATGTTTATTTTATCATTATTGTTTATTCGAATTTTCTATTCTTAATGATCACACACAGCCCAAATTTCCAGCAGACAGAAATTCTGGCATTTTTGGACAGATGTGTAAATAGATGCTGTGGGGTCAATTTTCTTGTTACTTGTCATCCTTTATTTTATTTTATCTGTACTGGAAGAGAAGTGGTTAACTCAAAACCTAGTGATATTAACAGTTGTCTAACTGCAGAGCTATGAAAACAGCAGCAGACATGGTTCAGTGGCCCTTCAGCTAGAGACTGTCACAGAGGCATGGTCAAATGCACCTTCACTGTGTATTCCCAGGGAACAACCAAGAACCCAGAGTAGGGTGGTCACGATCGTTTGGCCATCTGGGTTTTTCGGGGGTTTTTTGTTTTGTTTTTGTTTTTGTTTTGTTTTGCACATGGTAAGTGAGTACTACCAATGAGCTGTATACATCTCCAGCCCTGCCTCGTTTTAAGTCTGCCTTACTTCCTTTAAACTTTGGCGTTGTATGATTTTCCTGGGGAGAGCTGAACAAATGTCAGATTGCCTCAGGGCAGAAGGAAAAACCAGACCAAAGAATCCCACCAAAAGTCTAGCTTGGTGCGTCAGTGAGTTTAATAAGGTTGCCTACAGGTGTGTAGGCAGTGTACAAGCCTACAAGTGTACAAGAGAAAGCACCCAGCAAATATTAACTGCTTGCATATCCTCAGGGGAGGGTGCTCCTGCTCAGCCTCACAAGCCCTCCCCCTTCCGTGCTAGTGAACCCAATCTTTTGAAGGGTACCATGGGGTACAAAGCCACTCTGATTGCAGGGTGACAACAGCTGTGACATACTCAGAGTTTCAGGAACATCTCTGAACTTCTGATTTAGATGACACACATCCTGCTGCTGTAGCAATCAATGCCTGTAGCAGAGGGTAACAACATGGATGGACAAGTAATTAGAAATTAGAGCCACACCAAGAATTGACTGCTTTTAAATACAGAAAATGAAACCAGTGGATACCAGATCACAATTTATTCTCAGCAAGGAAACAACAGGCCAGCATCGGAGGTAGTAGTGAGATAAAGCAGATCTTGAGCATTTCAGTGTTACTCAGGAGAACCTAGATCAAGCTGAACTAAAACTCAGAAATCACAGTCCCGTTACACTCACAGTTCCTGCCTCAGACTTGCTTCAGTATGTGTTGATTCAATTTTGGATCCAGCAGCTGCTAATTTGGCCCTGGTGGGATAGGGCTTCCTATTGCTATTTGTAAAAATAAGTAAGACTGCACACATGAAAATTACAACTACAAGCTATTAAAAGAGATTGGAGTGCTGAGCATGGAGCATGGTGTGTGTGTACATGCTAGTGAGATGGCTCCATGGACAGAAGTTCTTGACTCCATATCTGGGCACCTAAGTTTGGTCCCTAGAAGCCACATAGTAGAAAGAGAGAACCAATGCCCTTATGCTGTCCTCTGACCTCTATACTCAAGTGTGCATACACAATAAGTAAATACATGTAAATTAAAAAAAATAAAGCCTGTAGTATGAGACTGACTTAACATCAGCAAATATTACTGGTTTCTTAGTGCATGCCAGACTGTGTTAGCTAGGCAGAAAGGATGCATGGATACAAAGGATGAAGTGTTTCCTCATTGTGAGTTATGTATCTTAGTAGTGAATGCTCCAGATGACCAGATAAGAGAATGCCAGTGCTGCCTTTAAAATGATTTGGGAACTTGATCCCCTGTCATAGGGAACACTTGCCCCAGGGAGCTGCCTCCAAACTGAAGGATACTTCAAAACCTGAGTTCCAGGGCTAGAGAAATGGTTCAGAGCTTAAGAGCACTTGCTCTTGCAGAGGGCCTGGGTTTGGTTCTCTGAAGCCATAAAGAAACTTAGAACATGGGGCTCAGTGGTTAAGAGCACTGGCTGCTCTTCCAAAGGAGCTGGGTTCAATTCCCAGCACTGATATGGCAGTTCACAACTGTCTGTAACTTCAGTTCCAGGGGCTCTGACACCCTCATGCAGACATACATGCAGGCAAAACTCCAACGTACATTAAATAAATAAAAACAAATCTTTTAGATAGAAAGAAAGGAAGGAAGAAAGAAAGAAAAAGAAAGAAAGGAAGGAAGGAAGAAAGAAAGAAAGTAAGTTAGAACTGTCTGTAACTCTAGTTCCAGGGTATCCTACTCTTCTGGCTACATGGGCAGTGGTGCACAAGTGTGCACAGACATACATGCAAGCAACACCCATACATAAAAAAATAAATCTTAAAAAAAAACTGAGTTCTCCCCTTTATTTGCATCAATTATTTTCTATCGCCCCTCCTTCATCTTTTCTGTGCTCATTCAAGCAGTCTTTGGGGATGTGTGGTTGAGACTGTCTCATATAGTCCATGCTAGCCTCAACAGTTAAGGCTGTCCTTAAACTTCTTATCTTCCTGCCACAACCTCCAAATGTTGAAATTACAGGTGTGCACCACTATGGCTTAAGCAAAGTATTTTTAATTAGCCTGTTATTGAGAATAAAGGATTCTGGGTACAATGAGAAGCCTAGGTAGGAAGATCACATGAGCCCAGAAGTTCAAGGCCATCCTGGACAACACATAGCAAAGACCTTTCTTCTATTTTAAAAAAGTTGGTTTTTGTTTCTTTTAGGCATGGTGGTACACACCTATAATCCCTGCACACTGGAAACTGAAACAGGATTGTAAGTTCCAGGCCAGTTCAGTCTGTATAGTGAAACCCTGTCTCAAAGTTTAAAAAACAAAAACAAAAACGAAGGAAGGGCTAGGGGAAGAATAGTGTTTTGTTTTCATTTTCTTCCCTTCTCTTATCTAAATTACCTAAAATGGGAAGTCAACTCCTTTTTTAAGATTTATTTTTATTCTTTTTTATGTGTATGTGTGTATGTCTGGTCTGAGTGAATGAATGCGGTGTGTGTAGGTGCCTGTGGAAACCAGAAGAGGGTGTCAGATCGCTTAGACCTGGAGTTACTAACAGTCAGTGATGGGCCTCCTGGTGTAGGCGCTGCAAACCAAACAACCCTTTGGAAGAGCAGCAAGCACTCCTAACTGTTGAGACAGCTCTCCAGCCCCCAAATAGAACTATTTCAAAGTCACGTTCAAACATGTTTCTTTATTGTTACGGAGCATTATGGATCGATTTGCAGGACCCCTTGGACTGGAGGGAAGGAGTCTGAATTTTTACTTTTTAAAATCCATTTATTTATTTTGGTGGGGAGGAGGGTGCCTATTGTGGCATCCATGTGGTCAGAGGACAACTTGCAGAAGTTGGTTCTCTCCTTCCACCATGTGGGTCTGTGTGATAGACCTCAAATTTCAGGATTGCCAGCAAGCACCTTTATATACTGAGCCATCTTACTGGTCTGAGGGTGTGTTTTTAGAAGGTGGAAGTTTGGTTGGCAAAGTAGAAGTAAGATAAGTGATCTAATTTAAGCTGAGCTCTATGATGTGAGAGGTAGTGACCGCTCAGATGTTGGTTTCTTTAGGAAACATCTGAGCCATCTTTGCAAGCCCTTGAATCCCGTCAAGATGACATTTTAAAGCGCTTGTATGAGTTGAAGGCAGCAGTTGATGGCCTTTCAAAGATGATTCACACTCCAGATGCAGACTTGGATGTAACCAACATCCTACAAGCTGATGAGCCCACACCTTTAACCACAAATGCACTGGACTTGAATTTGGTGCTTGGAAAGGTAGGTTCACTTTGAAAGGTGAGAAACCAGATGTCTGTGTCCCAGTGGCCTGGCTTTCTAGTTTTCAGAGGTGACGCAAAGAGCTTGTTTTCTTTATTTTTCCCCT